TAGATCAGCTTTAATATTGCAGATAGATTGTAACTTCCATCAATGTAATTGTCTGCATCACTTCCAATCCCCCATATGTTTTTTCTTCTTATTTTTTCTCGCATATATATATATATACATACACACACACATATAATAATAATAATATGCCATTTAGCAGATGCTTTCATCCAAAGCGACTTACAGTCATGCGTGCATACATTTTTGTGTATGGGTGGTCCCGGGGATCGAACCCACTACCTTGGCGTTACAAGCGCCGTGCTCACCAGCTGAGCTACAGAAGACATACATACATATCCTTTAAAAATATATATATTTCCCTTTATTACTTTCCAACCCCACCACCCCCTCCCTAATTGGAGTAAACTAGTGAACAACAATGCTTAGGCCTCTACTTCATGCTTATACATACTATATACATTTTATGGACACAGTCAATCATTATATTTTGTTTGTTTTTACTCCTGAACTTCCTCCGATCATTTTCATGATGTCCATCTGGTATGCTTCTATATGCCATATCTTTCTAACTGTGCTCTTTCACAAAAGCTCACAATATATAACCTATATACTTATTATGGATAAAGCATGTCTTACACTAGTTATCTTGTTGTTATTAGTTGTTGTTATTAGTCCCATCCTTCAGCTCCATTCAACACCTCCCATCTATCTCTTAACACCATCCATATTGGATTTCTATTTGCCATATATTTTTCAACTGTACTGTGATGTTTTACAAAAGTTCTGAACCTTTCTATTCTCATTGTTTCTACAGTTTGTGAATTGAAAATAAACATTTTTGCTAAAAGTATTATTATATTATTAATCGATTGACTATGACTTTTCAGATCACCCAGTAGTGCTATCTGCAGGGTCAGCTCCATGCAAATATATTCAGCCATTCCAAACAAGCTACAAATGGACAGCACCAAAACAAATGATCTAATGATTCTGTCTCTTCACAGCAAAATCTGCAGAGCTGGGAAGATTGTATCCCCCATACAAATAACATTCTATTGGTAGCAAGAATTTTATATAATAATTTAAATTGAAAAATTCTAAGTTTTGAATCCGGCGTCGTTTTGGGTGTCAGTTCATAAACACTATGCCATGGAATCGGTACGTCAAAAATCTATTCCCAACTATTTTGCAATCTATATGGGACGGCTGTCAATCTTTTGGTCCTTAAATGAAACTGGTAAACTTGTTTATTTATCTTAATTTTCTTTAATTATGTTCTTTAATGCAAGGCCGACAGACAAGTTCCTTACTTTTTCCTCCTTCCACGTTTTTTTAATCAATTAGTATATTTGAGTTTAACCACAATATTTGTTGCAATATTTGTTCTGTAATTTCTGGAGGATTAAATTGAAATTGCAACCAACTTTCTATGGCTTGTTTTAGAAATAGTGATATTTGGGAGATTATTTCCTTTTCAAATACGTGAAAGTGAGGGGTTGTAATCTGAATAAAGGGAAAAAGTCCCTTCTTGAACATTGGGTGAGACAATCTTACTAGTTTGCTAGAGAACTGATTCGGATTTAAGTATAATCTTTGTATGACTGAAGCTTTTAGTGATAGGTCTAATGCTTTAATATTTAATAATTTCTGTCCTCCTAATTCATATTCATTATATAAATAGCCCTGTTTAATTTTGTCTGGCTTGCCGTTCCAAATAAAATGGAATAATTTTTTCTCATATAATTTAAAAAACTGTTCGCTAGGCGTAGGCAAGACCATAAGCAAATAGGTAAACTGGGATAATACTAAAGAGTTAATCAGGGTGATATTTCCACAAATTGACAGGTATTTACCTTTCCATGGTAGTAAGATCTTATCTATTTTTGCTAACTTTCTATTAACATTTATTGAAGTGAGATCATTTATTTCCTTTGGGATATGTATTCCGAGTATATCCACATCACCATCAGACCATTTTATTGGTAAACTACATGGTAATGTAAAAATTGTATTTTTTAGTGATCCAATACGTAATATAGTACATTTATCATAATTTGGTTGTAATCCAGAGAGGTTAGAAAATGTATCTAGATCCTCTATGAGGCTGTGGAGAGATTCAAGTTGTGGATTTAAAAGAAAACATGAATCATCAGCGTACAATGACACCTTTGTTTTTAAGCCCTGGATTTCTAATCCCTTGATATTATTGTTGGATCTGATTTTAATAGCTAACATCTCGATGGCAATAATAAATAGATATGCTGATAGTGGACAACCTTGTTTCACTCCTCTTGACAGTTTAAAACTTTATATAGCCATTATTTACTATTTTACACCTAGGGTTACTATACATGATTTTAACCCAATTTATAAGAGATTGTCCAAAATTGAAATGCTCCAGGCATTTATATATAAACCCCAGTCGTACTTTATCAAATGCCTTTTCGAAGTCTGCTATGAATAGCAGGCCTGGCTTCCCAGATTGTTCATAGTGTTCTATTGTTTCCAGTACTTGCCTTATATTATCTCCAATGTATCGCCCATGTAAAAAAGCTGTCTGATTTAGTTAGCTATTGTTAATGTGCATGTAAATGCGAGCAAAAAAGTACCCAGGGACTTGCCTTGGCTCCAAGTCAGAGCAGGTCCGCCAGAGCCATGGCCCAGTGAGACACAGGTGCCGGCCCGCGTAGATGGAAACAGAATAGTCAGCCTTTTGGGTAAAATACTGGGGTAACTTGGGTAAAGTCCGGGGGTATCGTCGGACGGGGCCACAGTGTCCCCCGACCCACCTGTCTCAGTCTCCAGTATTTATGGTGCAATAGTCTATGTGCCGGGGGGCTAGGGTCAGTCTGTTATATCTCGTGTAATTCTCCTGTCTTATCTGGTGTCCTGTGTGATCTTAAGCATGCTCCCTCTAAGTCTCCCATCTCTCTCTCCCCTCCCGGAGGTCCTGAGCCCTAGGATCATGCCTCAGGTCTACCTGGCCTGATGACACCTGGCCGTGCTGCTGCTCCAGTTTCGCAGGCAGAACAGTTGGCTAGGGAACCCTGACCTGTTCACCGGACGTGCTACCATGTCCCGGACCTGCTGTTTTCGACTCTCTCTACCGCACCTGCTGTCTCGACCTCTGAATGCTCGGCTATGAAAAGCCAACTGACATTTTACTACTGAGGTACTAACCTGTTGCACCCTCTACAACCACTGATTATTATTTGACCCTGCTGGTCATCTATGAACGTTTGAACATCTTGAAGAACAATCTGGCCTTAAATGGCCATGTACTCTTATAATCTCCACCCGGCACAGCCAGAAGAGGACTGGCCACCTCTCAGAGCCTGGTTCCTCTCTAGGTTTCTTCCTAGGTTCCTGCCTTTCTAGGGAGTTTTTCCTAGCCACCTTACTTCTACATCTGCATTGCTTGCTGTTTGGGGTTTTAGGCTGGGTTTCTGTATAGCACTGCTGATGTAAAAAGGGCTTTATAAATTAATTTGATTGATTGATTGAAAGAGATCTGTGATTGATGATGACGGGACTTCCTGGAGCGAAGAGATGTAAGGATGTAAGGAAATGAGTCACACAGGGATCATGGTTAACAGGAAACACTAGGATGACAGGTTGATGACATACTACCAGAGAGACGCCTGCCCGCCCTACCGCCTAGGCTGCCCACCAAACTACGAGAAACACTGGTCAGTTACTGGTTGATCACGTATCGCCTTTATTAAATACTTCACAACCTCCCCTACAGTGAACGGTTACAAAATGGTACCTCTCGTCAAACAGGACACTGTTCAATTTATAAAGCAGTCACTTTTAGCAATGGGCAAAACAATAAAATTAGAAAAAAATACTAGATGCTTGTGTAGCCAGGTCAGCCCAGACTTTCATACCTCTATGGAATTAAGTGAGTTTATTTTATTTGTTTGAGCCTGCAACAAAAAAAGAATGTCAGTTTCTCCTCTCCTTTCACGGTTACAGGCTGCATCCCACTTAAATGCAAGCGGAAAATACATTTCTTTCTTTCTTTCCATATATATATATATATATATATATATATATAATATCAAATGATTCGATTTAACTGTCATGTGACAATGGGAGGAGACAGGAGAGGCAGATATCTCATAAGTATAAAAAATAAATTAAAATGATCATATCTCACGTGACAGACGGACACCCATGACAGTTGTGGTTTTCAATTCACAGTTCTGCCTCAGTGGCAGAGAGGAGGTGTGAGTGGAACCTCAAGTAGGGATGTGTGGGATGGTGGGACCAACATGGCCGACATAGGCTTCACCCCGACACACAAACAGACAGACAGAAGAGGCTAGAGATAACACAAGGCTGACAGAGCAGAGGGCTCAAATATTTAAAAAGAAGAGACAGCCGGCAGAGGGGAAAGACTGGCAGATAACAGATGGACAGCGCAAAGAAATGACTTCAAATCAAGCAACAAAAGAGTTGTATTCATATATAATATACTGTACTGTTATAACGCTACAGGCAGAGGGAGTGGCAGTGAATGTTCTCTATGTGTTATCTTTGCCTGTGATTGGACTACAAAATATACAATGATTGACAAGTATTCTTCTGACGGCGACACAGTGAAAGCTAGTGATATGAAAGGGTTGGACAGAACGGTTGATAAAGGGAGAGGAGAGAGCTTGGAGACTGGAGTTACAAACAAATGCAAAGGAAAATGAACAGGACAAGGAGCAGCATAAATGACGAAGTACAGCCCATTTAAATCTGTGGACTTGTGTTTTCGTTGTCCTAGGGAATACATTTAGGGAATACATGTTTTATTTATACATCTGTTTGTTTTAAAATAGAGGTCTCTCTTTCCCAGACTCAGACATATCCCTCCCACACCCTCCCTCCCCGGCCCCAAAGTCTGTTATAGAATCTGATTAGCCAACACGTTCAAACGTTCATCGTCTGTGGCCAGTCCGGCTTCCGCCTCAGTGCGCTCCTTGCTGATGCGTTCAGTGTTTATGTCTAAAACAACGTTCGACCAGCCAGGTGGATAGGCTCAGATATCACTGGCAGAAGGGTGATGCCGTGGGGTCAAAGCCTTTAAAAACCTCCTTCAGAGAGGCATTGTCCTGCTCCGTGGTGGTGGTGGTGTCGCCAGGCTGGGCAGGGCTGTTCCCACCAAAGGGACTGCCGGAACCGCTGGGCTTGCTGGCCTGTTTCACCATGCTGAAGACCGAGGACACAGGCAGGTTGTGGACGCCCGCCGGGGCCTGCTCAGCAGCACCAGGGGGGCCCTGTCCGGCCGTGGAGGAGCCAGAGGCAGCAGGACCTCCGGGGGGCCCGGTGGACGGCGAGGGTGCAGGCTTGGGCCTGGGCCGGTTATAGCTGTTGTAGCGGTCAGTGGACTGCTCGCTGCTCTTCTCTGGCTCCGGCTGGTCCAGGGCAGACTTACGGACAAACAGGGGCTCCTTGGCCTTTGGCTTGGCTGGCGCTGCCTCACTGGGCTTGGGCTCTGCAGGGCCGCTGCTGGGGGTTGTGTTTGTGGCGGTACCAGGGCCCTCAAGTTTACCTGCACTAGGAGTCCGGGGGTCATATAGACTAATACCACTTAGTACACTGCTGCCACCAGCTGCACCCGCTCCCCCTCCACAGCCCACCCCACCTGCTGACAGTAGCCGAGGGTCGTAGGGGGCGATGGTGGGGGAAGAGGAGCCGGAGGTGGATGGAGGGGCTGCAGGGGAGACTGTCAGAGGGGGGACAGGGGACTCTGAAGGCTGCTTCAGGGCAGATTTCTGCGGCTGGAGCCGGGGGTCAGCAGTGGCTTTGCGGGCCATTCGAGGATCGACAGGCTTGTCGACAGGGGTGGGCAACAAAGCAGGAGGCGCCGGCAACAAAGCCGGTGGAGGGACAAGGGGGAGAGAAGGGGATGACTGAGAGGGGCCGGATGAGGCGTTAACAGTTTTGAGGATGCGAGAGAGCAGCTCAAAGTCTGGGAGGGAGGAGGAGGCTGGGGCTTCTAAGGAGGGAGCCGGGACGGGTGGGGTAGGGGGGAGGGCCGTGTGGATCCGCTGCTGGCTGCGTGAGAGGCGGGGGTCCATGGCTGAGACAGGGGGGATGCCTGGGGGGAGTGGGAGGAGGTCCTGTTTAGGGATGAGGATGGGGATGAGGTCCTCTGGGTTCCATGTCACTGTCTTAGCATAGAGGGGCATGTGCAGGAGTATGTCCTTCTTGATGTGGCTGAACTGCTTCAGCTGTGAGCGCGGGTCCCTCAGGGCCATGCCCATCAGGGGGTCCAGGGGGATGGGCACAGGCTTGTCCCTCAGAACCCTCTCCGTCTCCTCCTCCTCTGCAGGGGGAGCCGTGAGGGGCGGGGGCTTGTACACCAGGGGGGCGTCTGGTTTGGGGGTGAGGGTGGCGGTAGCGAGCCGTGCCAGGCGGGGGTCTGCAGGAGCGACGGTGGAGGCCAAGGAGGGGTTGGGAGAGTCCAAAGCCTGGGCAGAGTCTGTGGCCCGGGAGAGGCGGGGGTCACGAGCCAGCCGGGGGTCCCCTTGACGGGGGTCCGCCGGTCGGATGGGGGGTTGCACTGGGGAGCCTTTCTGGAGGCGGGGGTCGCTGAGGGGGCCTTCAGGTTTGGGGGGTCCCTGGCTCTGCTGGCGGAGCGTCTTCAGGATGGATGTGACACTGCCGCCTCCATCCTCATCCTCACTGGAGTACCAGTTAGCTGAGTCACCTAGGAGATAAAGCAACAGGAATCAGTGATATAATCCATAATTTCAACCGTATGGTCTGAAAGGTATGAAGTAGAACCACAACCACTGAAAACCAGGGGCCGGAACATAATTACAAATCATTTGTAGTCTACAATTTGACCACAAGAATCCCAAACAGATATAATATTTGACTAAAACATAATTTCAAACCTTGCTTACATTTGTATACGATCACATGTATCTCTCTATTATGCATGGGAACACTTGGAGCTGATTTCCTGGTGTTTTTACAGTCTTTTATGTAAAAAACAAAAAGGTGTATTTATTTTTGCTCAGAAAACTTGGGGTGCCAAATAAAACCACCCACGGTCAAAATTCGGCCAACAGCTCCACCTAGCGAGGGTGTAGAGGCCCATTGGAGTCACTAATCTGATCCATGGGAGTGTCTTACACAACCAGAGCCCAGAGGATGTTGACTCTGCTGAGGGTTACAAGTGAGGGTCAACGGTGTCATACAGACATTTCCTGCCTCCTCGGGACACATATAAATTTCTAACCAAACAAAAGGAGACAGGAACACTGTACATTTTCCACAGACTTACGCAAGCACTTTTCGGGTCTAAAACAGTACTACTTATTAATCATACCATCAGCTTATGAGTCCTAAATGACACCCTATTCCCTTTACAGTGCACTACTTTTGACCAGGGACCAGCCAGGGATGTAGCCAGGGTTTACACAGCATATGCACTCGACTCAACCTATTTTATGCGCTCTACCTAGCCTATACGGGTGAGTGTGACCCCTAGCCAGTATTTATATGGTGTCTGTATCAATATAGCATAGTCCTGCAGTGTTTGCACTGCCAATGCACTGTTTATACTGTGTCAGTGGGAATTGTTTGTTTTGTCTATGGAGAATTGAGATGGTGCCTGCAGTAATTTCCCATAGTGGTGCGTGCCAGGTTTACCAGGCCCAGCAGAAGTGTTTATGTTATTGTATGTGCTTGTCATTATATTAGTGTCTAAGCATGATAGACATCAATACAGTGTCTACAGCAGGGGTGGGTAATAATTTGTTTGTCAAAAGCAATTTGCGGCCCAGAAAAAGGGCAATTATTTCAAAACGTATAGGTCTATTATAATTTCGACATACACTATATATACAAACGTATTTGGACACCCATTCCAGTTAGTGGATTCGGCTATTTCAGCCACTCCCGAGCACACAGCCATGCAATCTCCATAGACAAACATTGGCAGTAGCATGGCCTTACTGAAGAGCTCAGTGACTTTCAACATGGCACCGTCATAGGATGCCACCTTTCCAAAAAGTCAGTTTGTCAAATTTCTGCCCTGCTAGAGCTGCCCCGACCAACTGTAAGTGCTGTTATTGTAAAGTGGAAAAGTCTAGGAGCAACAACGGCTCAGCCGTGAAGTGGTAGGCCACACAAGCTCACAGAACAGGACCGCCGAGTGCTGAAGAACGTAGCGCGTAAAAATAGTCTGTCCTCAGTTGCAACATTCACTACCGAGTTCCAAACTGCCTCTGGAAGCAACGTCAGCACAATAACTGTTTGTCGGGAGCTTCATGAAATGGGTTTCCATGGCCGAGCAGCCGAACACAAGCCTAAAATCACCTCGCCGCCATTGGACTCTGGAGCAGTGCAAACACGTTCTCTGGTGTGATGAATCACACTTCAGTCCGACGGATGAATCTGGGTTTGGCGGATGCCAGGAGAAGGCTACCTGCTCCAATGCATAGTGCCAACTGTAAAGTTTGGTGGAGGATAAATAATGGTCTGGGGCTGTTTTTCATGGTTCGGGCTAGGCCCCTTAGTTCCAGTGAATGGAAATCTTAACGCTACAGCATACAATGACATTCTAGATGATTCTGTGCTTCCAACTTTTTGGCAACAGTTTGGGGAAGGCCCTTTCCTGTTTCAGCATGACAATGTCCCCGTGCACAAAGCGAGGTCCATACAGAAATGGTTTGTTGAGATCGGTGTGGAAGAACTTGACTGGCCTACACAAAGCCCTGACCTCAACCCCATCGAACACCTTTGGGATAAATTGGAACACAGACTGCGAGCCAGGCCTAAATCACCCAACAGCAGTGCCCAACCTCATTAATGCTCTTGTCCCCGCAGCAATGTTCCAACATCCAGTGGAAAGCCTTCCCAGAAGAGTGGAGGCTGTTATAGCAGCAAAGAGGGGACCAACTCCATATTAATGCCCATGATTTTGAAATGAGATGTTGGACGAGCAGGTGTCCACATACTTGGTCATGTAGTGTACTTTCTATCTAGTTTTAGACATTCAAGAGTGGCCTGGGTGGCCGGTCTAGGCCACTGCCTCCAGTGTACTGCTGCAGCATGGTGTCGATCCAGCCCATTGCTATTTCAGCAACTCTCTCCATCTTTCCTCTCTCTATCCTATCCAATAACATTTTTAAAATATATTTTTTAAGAGTGGCCTGGAGTGTATTTTAACCCCCTAGAGTCTAAGCCTGGAGGTTGTGTCTACAAAGCTAACATATGGAATTGTTTTAAAATGGTCAGACCAAGGATCATTTAGATATTTGATTTCGAATTTTAGGACCCCTTTAGGTATAAAAAAATATACAAAAAATGATTGAACGCATGTTGCCCACCCCTGGTCTACAGTCTGTGTGTGTGTAGAGCGTACCTTCCATGTCCCTCTCTCCTCCCCCCTTGGCCAGCCTGGCCCTCTCCTCATCCTCCTGCTGTTTCTGCTGGATTCTCATGAACAGCATGCGCTGGGCCGGCGGCAGGAAGTCAGGCACGCCCATCCCCGCCTGCTGATTGGCCAAGCCGCCGTTTGCGGGGACGTCCGGGCCTCCCATGGAGCTCTGGTTTCCTCCCGATCCTCTTCCTTCTTTCTCGTCCATCCCTCCAAAGCCCTGGAAGTCATCACCTGGAAGGTACAGGAGGAGGGTTGACAACTACAATACAGAACACTCTCAGAGACACATTACAGCACAGGTTTAGATTCAATCTGAAATTATATTGGAAGGGCCAACAGTCTCTGATGCGAACAGTGATTGTATGCTTCGTTCATGATGTGATACGATATCAGCTCAGCTCACCTTCCTCCACCACCCCGTCCATATTCATGTCTTGCTGCTGGTTGAAGAAGTTATCAAAGAAGTTACCCCCTGGAGGAGGTCCGGGGGGCATCATAGGCCCCCCTTCTGGGCCAAAGCCTGGCATCATGGGGGGTCCTCCAGGGCCCATGGGTGGGGGAGGACCCATGGACATGTCTGGGGGCATCATGCCAGGTGGAGGGAACCGAGGCGGAGGCCCACCAGGCCCACCGGGGAGCCCTTGGGGGCCAGTGGCGCCAGCTTGGCCTGTGGCAGTTCCCGGGTTCTGACCTCTGTAGCGAGAAGGATTGTTGAGTTATACCATGTTCCTTGTACATACTCAAACTATAAAAGCCACATAAATAGGTTTGGATGGATGTGAAAAGCTCACCTGTGATTAGCTAGTTTCTGAGCTAGCTGTCCCGTGGGCTGCACCTTGATCTCAAACAGCGAGGGGATCTTCTTCCCTCCATTGCCGGGACAGGGGGGTGGGGGGCCCATGGATGGGGGTGGGGGACCATTGGGGTTGGGAGTGCCCTGGTAGGGGCCACTGTCTGGGTAGGGGGTAGGGGGACCAGGACAGGGACCGGACCCTTGGGTAGGCCCTGGACTGGGGAGGCCGTTGGGGGACATGGGGCCCTGTGGTGGTCCAGGAGGTCCAAAGTCCCCAGGGCCAGAGTTGTCGGGCGGCCCTGGTCTGGGCGGTGTCGGGAGCAGGCCCACCCCAGGAGGAGGCTTGGGAAGGGGGTTGATCCCCTGCTTCTTTAGCTCCTCCACCTCCTTCTCATCCTCAGCTCCAGCCTCGGCATCCTCCGCCAGCATCTACGAACACATGAGATGAAAAGGTGGTCAAAAGGGGTTAACGCAGAGGAGAGTGAGTGAAAGTGTGACAGGGTTAAAGAAACAGAGAAAAGTGGTGTATAAATCCACTTGAGGACGGCTCACCTTATTTAACAGGTCTTGGGTGTCGTCGGTGAGAGGCTCATGGGAGAACATGCATTCGTCTCCATTCACACAGCTCCCAGTGGTATGGAACAGCTTGCAGGGGAAATCACGTGCTGGGGAGTTAAGGAACTATGGATGGCCTGAACTCACTCAAAGACTGTCTCTTGGCCATTTAGGCCCGATATTCAAAAAGCGGCCCAGGGGTAGCACTGATTTAGGCTATACTAAACTTGACACCTAGTATGGCAGTTCTAGTTATGCTAGCTGTAAACACACACTGAAGGGAATGTATGAAATGTCCTATCTGATACAAAGTGGACTGCAGGTAAAGGATATCATGCATGTAGGGGCAGTTTTCAGCCCGCGCGCAGAAGCCGGTGATGTAGAACTTGCAGAGTTCTTTCTTCTTGGGCAGCTCAATGTCGTGGCTGAAGTTGCAGTGTTCCCCCTGGAAAGTTGGCAAAGAGATAAAACTATCAAAATCACAACATGTTAGTACAAGATTTTAAAAAGCAGTTGACGGTAACATCTGTTAGAAGAATGATTTGACATTCTATTGAGAATGCCTGGCAAGAACATTATCTCCGCTCAAATTCCATGATTTTCTTCCTTACCCAAGTACAGCGGCCCTCGATGTAGTACTTGCAGATGGCTTTCCCTTTCTTTTCTTGGTGCTTGTCCCCCTGGTGCTTGTTGTGCTGGCCTCCTCCGCCATCCTGCACCACAACACAAACAAACAGGTTCTATTTTGCGTTGCGGTGAGGTCTTCCAAGCATTACTAGATTTAGAGCCTTATCAGAAATCCAACTTGTACAGGTTGAATATTCATTCAGAGCAGCGAGCAGGTCTGTAAGGTGTTGTAGTTGGTTTTATTCTCACCCCCATGTCCCCCACGTCTCCATTGTTGTCCTCATCGTGACCCTGGTCTCCGCCTCCTCGGCCTCTCCCTCGGTTCCTCCCTCGGCCTCCCCGGTTCATACCACGTCCCTGTTTCCCCCGGCCCCGCCCCCGCCCACCTTTACCACCTGGTTGGAGCAGGGAGAGACACTTCATCAGTGGACTACAATGGAACAAGACAGGCAACCGTTTTGGATCGGGTGCAAAGCATGTTTACTTAGGAAGGACATCAGAACAGCTAACCTAGCATGTCTGTATTACAGTAGCATGACTAAGTATTGTGTAGTATGAATAATAGTGGTAATCCTTCACATTCTGACAGCCAACTCACCCCTTCCACGGTCTTTGGACTTCCTGTACTGAGAGTATTCATCATAGTCATCTTCACCCATGTGGTCATAGTCATCATCTCCATACTAGAACACAACATCAACTTGATGAGGAACAATTCAGAAACAAAACACAATATACTTTCCTGAGATTTTCAACACTTTCCTGCTTTAGCAAACACACCAGTATCATTGATAGATCATTTCACATGGTTTGTGCATCTGGGGCCAGAGGATGACCGTCTTTGACTCACCTCCATCTCGTCTCCTCCTCCCCCCCCCCTCCTCCTCCTCCTCCTCCCCCTCCGTACATCATCCCGTCTCCGTCCTCGTTGTCTCCACCCATCTTGCTCCCTCGTCCCCGACCCCTGCTCCCTCCTCTTCCTCTACCGCCACGCCCTCCTCCTCTCATGCCTCCTCGACCTCGCTGGTTCTTCATACGACCTTTACCTCCTGTGGAGAAAGAAAATGAAACACTGTCAATACCTGTCAGCATCTCCACGGCACGCGGGAACCTGCAAGCAAACTAGTAAGGGTCGTTCAATTCACCTCTGACCCCATTTTTGCTACCTCTGCCCCCACGACTGTTGCCCCTTCCACCTCCATCGCCGCTGCCTCCCTCTTTGGCCTTGCGGTACTGGTTGAGCTCCTTGGTGAAGTCATCGTAGTCTTCATCCCCCATCTCCTCATCCTCCTCTCCCTCGTAGTTCTCCTCTTCGTAATCACCGTAGCCCCCGTAGCCTTGCTTGTCCATCTTTACGTAGCTGCCCTTCTTAGGCATGAGGCCACCGTGGCCGGAGGACGGGGCTGGTGGGTAACTTCCAAGGGACTGGGTAGGAAACAAACAATCATTGTTAGACCACTGTAACTACATGGTAACAAACAGACTAGCAACTCCACAGCAAGTATCTTCAATCATGTGATTTAGAGTACTGCAATGGGGTAACTTACAGAAGGGGGGTACGTAGGACTGTAGTCCCGATACTTCCTCTTCTCACTGGGGCTGTAGTCAGAGTCATCGCTAAAGTCTGAGTGGTCATCACTGGAGGAGGCATGACGCTGTAACACCACACACACAACACAGAAAGAGCGATAGGCTGAGTGACAATGTACTAAGAAACATCTTTAGACTAAACAGTAAGAAAGCAATAACATCCCTGATCTGAAGGGTCTGTAAAGCCCGAGCTGAATGTGGAACACACACTCTTACTTTGTGCTTGGATTTGCGTCTTTTCTTGGCTCTCCTCTTCTCCTTCTCCCGCTCCCTCTCTTTTCTCCTCTTCCTCTTGTGGCGGCGGGCCTTCTCTTCGTCCTTCTCGTCGCCGCTGGCGTGGCGCTCTTTGCTGCGGTGAGTTTTCTCTGGGGGGGCTGCCTCTGCTACTGCTGCTGCTGCTCCTTCATCTTCACCTCCATCTTCTCCTCCTCCCCCGGCGCTGGGCTCCTCTGCCACCTCCACCTCTCCACCATCATCCTCCAGCTCCCCCTCTTCCAGCTCACCATCCTCACGCCTGTGACAAACAGAGAACAGATAGAGAGGACATCAAAATGCTGTTCAAACCACACTCTGATCTAATCTGCATAGTTCATGTTTGGACTCCCAGTATGGGACAGATGGAGGGTTCCTGGGTGGTGAACATTACATTCCTAGATGCCACCACCCGCCAATAATAATAACGGGATCAAAGCTTTTTGTCTGGGGAAAAGTAAAGTGGAATAAAATGGCATTAACAACCGCGACTGCTAGGTTGGGAATTTGGATAATTCCTTTTTCATGGTAGAGGTAACATGGCGAGCTTCAGGTGTACCTGTTCTACACATTTTATATTGATAACTTGTATAGCCCGAGGGAGTCATTTCCCTCATGTTCTAACTTCAGTAATTCAATTTGTGGGTTTCAGTCGCTAATTATGGCGTTTCCTTGTGCGTTTCTGTACGTTTGTATGGACAGTGGAGATAACGTGGTTATCCTCAGGACCAATCAGCTGTTGTTATCCTATCCTGTCACAATGTCTGAGAGTTGCGTTTCTCTGAACTCATCAAACATTAAATCACATCACCGTTCACACAAAAAACAAGACACAATGTAGGCTGCTCTGCTGTAACATTCTGATGAGTTATGAGTGTTGTGTTTGGGTGACTGGGTTGACGGTTGGCTGTTATTGTGGGTGACATGAAGGACCTAGTGTCTGCTGAAGTCAGAGGGCAAGATCATGTTTTTCTTAGATTAATCACATAGGCATAGGCCTACTGACTGTATGCTGGAGATAGGACTGCTAGGGTGTAAGGGCTGTGGGGGGGGGGGGGGGGGGGGGGGGGGGGGGGGGGTCAGGGATAAGGTGGGTGTGGTCTGTGGTAAACAAATTATATGGCAGTTAATAGATGGGACAGCAATCAGTAACAGCAAGTTTCTCTGTGAACAGCATTTCAATATAGGTATGACATTTCCATGTGTGTGTAATGTGTCCACTTTGAGCTTCACTGTTTTGTCTCTATGGACTGGGAAAAGTTGAGTGATGCAACTATGATGATGCAACTGGTGGGGGAGGGGGATTCAGTAGGTCCCAACTGCTGGACTGGACATTGGCAATCCGTTGGCCTTCATTTAACAGGGTGGATTCAACATCAACATTCAACACTATTTCAAGGACATTTTGAAAGCAATAGGCCCATCACTAAATCGAGTTAGTCATTCCTGTGCAGGGAGACAGAAGTGTTTACATAACAAAAATAATCTTAAACAGTCTGCTATTTATCAGTGAAGACCAGTAAGAAGAAGATGAAAAATATTTCACCAACAACCAATTCAGATCTCAAACGTTACACAGGAAACTGCAACGGTCAAAACTGTATTACAACTGGAATAGCTAGGCCTAAATGTAGCTAGAGAACACAGACAACAAGAAATCAGAAACAGTCACTTTTTCCCCTGGCCAGATTTCAAGGTGTAGTTTCACACAGAGACGCCATTACATGATTTACTGAAATACATTGGCGTGACAATAAGGCATGTGTGGTGGTGGTGGTGAGAAGTAGGATATGACCACCATGTCCATTTGAAGTGTCACTTTAGCCATCGAGTCCTGCCTACAGAGTGAACGGATATTTGCTGACACTGATCAGAGCAGGCTTGAGTAACAGTCTCGCTTTCAGTGTCTGGTATAGCCTAACTTCAAAATGGTACAAGTTAGGCCTTTATTTGATTATTCAAATACAGACTGGATTCGAATTATGACTTTTGGCCAAAGTACACAGAAATGGTTTGGGTAGTAAAAGGAGTAAGATGTAGGCTATAGAATAGACTATACTCTGAGCATACAGACCCAATCTGTGGACATAAGCCTATAGGCCAATTGACACAAATAAATGTTGACTGATCTCTCTTTATACTCACACCACATCCTCAACATACTAACTTCCTATGTAGGACATGACATCCTACTGGGCCCGGGGGTTTCTGGGTCTTACTAAAGTCTCCTGCTCCTCATTATGTTTAGTTATCCTAAGTTTACTCTCAGCCAGAGCGGGACCAGATATAGATCTCTCTACCTTACCTGCCACCCTAGATCTAGTCACTCTTAAATAAACCAAATTCATGTAAAACTGCAAGTTGATAAAAACCATTTTTTCCTTCATTCTCAATGGCATGGTTTTACAACCTGGCATAAAACAATAGAGTCAACATAATTTAACTCAGCACAACCAACCCTTAAATCAATATCTGTCATGGCAGTCACGCAAACACTCACGTCCTTCAAGAGGCACAAGGAGGCCATTCTTGATGAGCGCAGAGCTTTGCATTGCTGGAGGTTCTATGGACTGACATGGACACATACACAGAACAAAGGCTCTACTGACACAGCTCCGACTCCTGGCCCCTTTCCCTAGTGGGGTGCCAGGTACAAATATTGAGTATTCTGCGGACAAGCAAAATGCTTTATCATGATTTTGCTCAGTTCAGATGCCAGCCAAGCCAACCTATACTTCTACAGAGGTGTGCCACTCCCACAGTGATGTAAAGTACTTAAGTAAAAATACTTGAAAGTACTACTTAAGTAGTTTTTCTGGGTATCTGTACTTTACTATTTATATTTTTTACAACTTTATACGTTTACTTCACTACATTCCTAAAGAAAATGATGTACTTTTTACTCCATACATGTTCCCTGACACCCAAAAGTACTGGTTATATTTTGAATGCTTAGCAGGACAGGAAAATGGTCTAATTCACACACTTATCAAGATAACATCCCTGGTTATCCCTACTGCCTCTGATCTGGCGGACTCACTAAACACATGCTTCGTTTGTACAGCAAATTATGTCTGAGGGTTGGAGCGTGCCCCTGGCTATCCGTAAATAAATAAAAACAAGAAAATGGTGCCGTCTGGTTTGATTAATTTAAGGAATTTTAAATGATTTATACTTTTACTTTTGATACTTATAAAGTATATTTTAGCAATTACATTTTATACTTAAGTATATTTAAAGTAGTATTTTACTGAGTGAATTTCACTTTTACTTGAGTCATTTTCTATTAAGGTATATTTACTTTTATGTCAATTGGATGATTTTTCCACCACTGCACTCCCATTGGCTGAGAGTATGTATGCCTAACCATTTAGCTGTGCAAAGATATGTTAGGGTCTGGCCAAATCCATCTTGTCTTGTACTGAATGAAAACTTACTCTTACAACATTCTTTATGTAGTAGCCTATTTCAAACGGAGGTTACAGGGGTTTTGGTTTCTAACATTACTGTAATAAAGAGTTGTATATGAAAATGATATTGTCAGGCAGGTCAGATTTCCTGACAAATGTGTTAAATGGCAAATGCAAAGCACCTGTCAACAGCCTCCTCTGGGTTTTATAGCCTACATCACGATTTTCCCAAAAAAATGATGAATCACTCTAATAACAACAGAAGGGTCAGGATATGACAGCACTCACTACTGCCAATTTGATAATGCTCTAGTCTACTCTACGCCAAGGAACAATGCCCAAGGAACTATGAACAGAAAAAAGTTACAGTTGGATCCAAATATATAGCCTAATAAAAATAAATCATCCGCAATCTAAGGATAGGCTTGGATAATCACACTTCAAACAAGACAACCTTTACAGTTGCTATAAAGTTGTGTGTGCGCACTGGACACACACTATGTGGTTCCAAGAGCATAAACTGAGTTAATACTGAAAATACCAATCACTAATGTAAACTGACGTTTTCGCTTACAAATACATTTTACAATACTATTCATGCATCATCACAACAGGATTACTGCTTAATGAAAAAGGTGAAAAAGTTCCCTAATAATGAATTAAACTACAAACAATGGGCCTTTATCAAAATGATGGGAAGTACTTACTGTGAGAGGTTTTCTTCACTCAAAAGCACTGGTATGACCATTTCCCCCAAAAAGTTTTTGGAAGATAATAGTGGTCTCCCCACTTTATTATTAGGGTTTGTGGAATGGCATAACTTGGGGGGTTGGGGGTTGGGTTGGGTTGGGGGGATGCTGAAGACAGACAGGGCAATCAGGTAACGTTTGTGTTTTACTTGACTTTTTAGACATCTGAAATGCTTTGCAAACGTTCAACTCAGTTCTGGGATTTGGTGGGTGTTTGGGATAACAATCTAAAGTAAAATAGCAGTCTGTCCTGAGAAGAGAGAATGGGAAAACTTTATAGGGGCACGAAATTCGGCAATTTTCCTGAACGTGCATGGAAGTGAATTTTTGAAAATCCATTCATGTACAAATCTAGTAATTACAACAACAAAAAATTATGGGTGGCACAAACATATTTCAAGTGGAGATGAGAACACTAAAATAATTGTACAATCACTTTTGTTACATTGTTGCTGACTAGTTAGTATGATCAATTTCGCGCCTTGGAATTGTAGCAATTTGTTAGTGATTAAATGTTCTATCAATCCCTAGCTAGTTTGCTTAGTTAACGTTAGACTTTGGACCAATAGTGAACTTCATAGCTAGCTAACGTTAACTAATCGAACCAATTAATTTTATTCGCATATATATAGGGTGACAATTGACAATCTGCATCAATTCCAATGACAATTTTTTTTCAACATAACTAGTTAGTTGCTAAAAAGGCAGGCACAATGGCGGCCTTGGCTTACTAGCTAGATTGGCTGGCAAGCTAACTAGCAAAGAAATAAACTGCGTAGTTAGCTAGCGTAACTAGTTAGCCACCTCGTTACTTAGCTGGAGTACTAATAAAGGAAATACATACGATGTCCAACAACTGGCTATTAATCAAATCGTTTATCTGACCTGAAAAACCTAGAATGTAATGATTAATTAGGAAACTGTTTAAATTCGCCCTATTGGCTTGGCGGATAGTTTGCAAACGGGCTTTTTTTCACGGATGGCAGCCAGCTAGCCAACTAGCTAGCGAGTTGGAACGTTAGCTAGCCCTCTCTTTGCAATTCAATTTTGCAAAGCTTTTGTGTTCAAAAACGTTTTGGACATTAACTAATTGGACATCTATTCAGAAATGAATTTTTGCTAGTTAAGTTAATGGTGGACAATTAGCAAGCAATAAAATCATATTTTTCTTCATTCGGTCTCTACTTTGATGGGGATGCAACTTTGCTGGATCAGTTATTTGAACTGATGGTATTTTTTCTTAAAATAACTTCTTGAAATACTTATTCAAAGTGAACAGATCCCAGGTTCATATTTGACCTTCCAGTTTGCGCTGAGCAACGTTTCAAGATGGCGTTCGTTACCTCTGTACTTGTTCCCCAGAAAAAGGCGACTTTAATCCCTTTGAAAGAAAAAGGAAAAAGAAACCCGGGCTTTTTATGCCTAAAAAGCACAGGACAAATAAATAGTTTGATAGAAATATGATTGTAGAATTACTCGACCTTTCGTCAGTGAGAAGACTGTGTTCGTGGTTGGTTGTTGTTGGGGAGTTTGGATGGACAGTCATGCTTTCCACAGCCATTTCCTCTAGCTACATTTAGGTGCAAAAAAAATTACAGCTCTACTGGCTTATGCGTCACTTAACTTGGATCTACAGTACTTGTTAATGGTTTTAGGAAGAGTTTCAGTTCATAGTAGTCAATTCCCCACTAACAGTTGTTAGAGAAATAGGTTGAAATTGTGTCCTGAGGTTCTCCGTCCTACAGTTGCGCTGTAAAATGAAACTCATCCACTTAAAATGGCTGACTGTCTCCTCCAAAGAGAAGGGGGCGGGATATTCCGAACGTGACGACATAAACATTACGTTCTCATACGTTTGTCACGGAAATAACCGAACGTTCTTCGTTCAGCAGTTGTGAAAGAGCACTCTTTGGCATATGTATATGCATATCTGCAGGCAAGGAGACTGGATTTTAGGGCACATTGAGGTATTCTGCTGCTTGTCCAGTAATTTCAACAAGTTCACTTTACTTTTCTCTTAGTTAGTTGGCCCTCAGTTCCCTCTCCATGGCATGACTATATTGGTGGTAGCTGTGGATGGTGAAGTGTCTCCGAGCCTGTGTATGTAGTGCATATCCTGTACCAATTATAATTCACTATTAATGCCACAGTCAAATTACAACTAACCAATTATATTTCATTAATTAGATTGATTGGTTGGTTCAACTGTTTTGCCATATCACAATAAAATAAAACCAAGGATCAGGTATAGGCTCCATTGTTCATGTTTTTTGTTGCCATAGGAAACTTAACAAATGTATAGCTTTATATCACGTTTTAAAAGTAATTTCCTCTCACAGAATGTCTGAGTACTGCATGTGAAAATGTCATAAATTCATTTCTTCCACTGTTACATTTTTGTTGGTAGGCCCATGCTATGATGGTATGCGTATGTCTTACAGTGAGATGAAAAAAATCATCAGGAGATGGCCTATTCTTTTGATGAAGTCACTAAAGTATAAACCTCTACGGGTCCACTGTCCTCACATTTAGATAAAACAATTCCAAACAGTCCCTTTACATGTCAGAATGTTCAATAATCTTAATTTGAATTTTACCTGTTGTCCGCTGATTTCGGTCTTCTGCTGGTGGAATTTGAGACAAAATATCCACAGGAAAGTATTATTAAACAGACTTCAAAACGCGGGTCTCTGTGTATGGCTATCACGATTTGTTTGCTTATCACCTAAGGAATGTGCACAAGACGTAAGTACATCCACGCGATGCATGCATACTAACCGAAGTCTTGCAGGTGTTTACATGGTTTTGTGCATGTGGCAGGTGATAGAAATCTCAACTGCAATATAGTCACTCTAAAAGGTCGGGTGAATAATACTGTCCTGCGGATATTTTTTCTCAAATTTTGACCCGAATAAGGACCAACCGCACAGACAACCGGTAGAGTAAGTTCAAATGCAATTGTATTCAACATTCTGGCTTGTAAGGAAACGTCCCAAGTTTTTGCAGCGCTTTAATTCAGACTGTGTATGCAGAAAGCTTGCCTGACTCCTCAAACTGAATTCTTACACTACTCCATGTTCGCTACAGAAGAAAGTAACGTCCTTGGGCGTGGTGTGGCGTAGCGTTTGGCCGGAGCAAGGAGTTTGGGTAGCCAGGCAAGCAGAAAGCTGGTATCACAGTCTGATTTATTAGGCAACTAAAGTATATACAGTTGAAGTTGGAAGTTTACATACACCTTAGCCAAATACATTTAAACTCAGTTTCACAATTCCTGACATTTAATCCTAGTAAAAATTCCCTGTCTTAGGTTAGTTAGGATCACCACTTTATTTTAAGAATGTGAAATGTCAGAATAATAGTAGAGAATGATTTATTTCAGCTTTTATTTCTTTCATCACATTCCCAGTGGGTCAGAAGTTTACATACACTCAATTAGTATTTGGTAGCATTGCCTTTAAATTGTTTAACTTGGGTCAAACGTTTTGGGTAGCCTTCCACAAGCTTCCCACAATAAGTTGAGTGAATTTTGGCCCATTCCTCCTGACAGAGCTGGTGTAACGGAGTCAGGTTTGTAGGCCTCCTTGCTCGCACACGCTTTTTCAGTTCTGCCCACAAATTTTCTATAGAATTGAGGTCAGGGCTTTGTGATGGCCACTCCAATACCTTGACTTTGTTGTCCTTAAGCCATTTTGCCACAACTTTGGAAGTATGCTTGGGGTCATTGTCCATTTGGAAGACCCATTTGTGACCAAGTTTTAACTTCCTGACTGATGTTGCTTCAATATATCCACATAATTTTCCTTCCTCATGATGCCATCTATTTTGTGAAGTACACCAGTCATTCCTGAAGCAAAGCACCCCCACAGCATGATTTTGCCACCCCTGTGCTTCACGTTTGGGATGGTGTTCTTCGGCTTGCATGCCATGTGCTGTTGCAAACCGTAGTCTGGCTTTTATATGGCGGTTTTGGAGCAGTGGCTTCTTCCTTGCTGAGCGGCCTTTCAGGTTATGTCGATATAGGACTCGTTTTACTGTGGATGTAGATACTTTTGTACCTGTTTCCTCCAGCATCTTCACAAGGTCCTTTGCTGTTGTTCTAGGATTGATTTGCACTTTTCGCACCAAAGTACGTTCATCTCTAGGAGACAGAACGCGTCTCCTTCCTGAGCAGTATGACGGCTGCGTGGTCCCATGGTGTTTATACTTGCATACTATTGTTTGTACAGATTAACGTGGTACCTTCAGGCATTTGGAAATTGCTCCCAAGGATGAACCAGACTTGTGAAGGTCTACAATATATTTTCTGAGGTCTTGGCTGATTTCTTTTGATTTTCCCATGATGTCAAGCAAAGAGGCACTGAGTTTGAAGGTAGGCCTTGAAATACATCCACAGGTACACCTCCAATTGACTCAAATGATGTCAATTAGCCTATCAGAAGCTTCTAAAGCCATTACATCATTTTCTGGAATTTTCCAAGCTGTTTAAAGGCACAGTCAACTTAGTGTATGTAAACTTCTGACCCACTGGAATTGTGATATAGTGAAATAATCTGTCTGTAAACAATTGTTGGAAAAATTACTTGGTTGAAAAATGAGTTTTAATGACTCCAACCTAAGTGTATGTAAACTTCCGACTTCAACTGTACTTCTCAACAGATGTCTAGAAAGCTCTGGTCTGATAAGGCCCCTAATAACTGATACAGGGTATATTTGTTTTTGCCCAGTGGGAGTGAGATTTTTGGAGAGAATGGATCCTTGCCTTCTGGCTGATCCATATGTGGTGTCAGGTTAGGTGGAGAAGAGTTTGGGGAATGTTGGGTCGGTGAAAGTGACTCAAATTTGAATCGCGCTCCGCACCACGCGACTGGGGAGAAGAACTGTGACTTGCTTACCTCTCCAGAGCAGGGTGCCGTTGAAAGGAGTGATAACTGGAGTGGCGTTAAGTATTGAGGAGGTTCAACTGAAGTTGAAGATTCCTGGTGTCTGTGACGCCCACCATTTGGTGCAACACAGACCCGGTGGAGAGGGTGGTGGAACAGAGAAGACACTGTTTGTACTTCTGAGTTTTGATGCAGAGTTTTTACCAGAAAAGCAGGTTGAGGTTGCCAGGATCAGAGTAATTCAGAAGGTGTCATATGCTGAGGCATTGAAGGGAGTAGTAACCTCCCGAGTGGCGCAGTGGTCTAAGGCACTGCATCGCAGTGCTAGCTGTGCCACTAGAGATCCTGGTTCGAATCCAGGCTCTGCTGTAGCCGGCCGCAACCGGGAGACCAATGGGGCGGCGCACAATTGGCCCAGCGTCGTCCAGGGTAGGGGAGGGAATGGCCGGCAGGGAGGTAGCTCAGTTGGTAGAGCATGGTGTTTGCAACGCCAGGGTTGTGGGTTTGATTTCCACGGGGGGCCAGTATGAAAATAAATAAAAAGAATAATGTATGCACTAACTGTAAGTCGCTCTGGATAAGAGCGTCTGCTAAATTATGTAATGTAAATGTAGAGGAAGATGGGTCCACCCTTACGGAAAATGATTGCAGTCAAAGTGCAGTATAACGGCAGTACACTGCAGTATAACTGCAGTTATTCTGAAATTACTGCTTCCAAAATACCACAGTCGACTGCACTTTTACTGCAGTTTCAAAACTGCAATCTTTTTTTGTAAGGGCAGGGTGAGGGATCCTAAGAGGATCCCTGTGAGTAGGTCGAGGTCAATAGAGAGTGATAGGAATAACGTGCTTTGGTAAGATTGTTTTTTTGGCATTCATGGCCATGGTTGTCAACTGAACCGCAGGAATGGAATGTAAATCACAGAGGATAGATGTTGTGGTGGCAGCTGCAAATAAGTACTTGAGCGTACGAGATTTTACTGCAGAAGAGTTACAAGGTGTTTTGAACGATAGTGTCCCGTACTCCCAGGCTGCTGGCCTGGTGCAGGATCAGATAGGACCAAAGTAGTGGAATAGTGATGAGGTTTTAATGGGTGTAGGGTTAGTTGGTAGGGGAATTTTTTCACAAAATGTAATGAATTGTTACTACAGAATAGTAGGCTGATACACAGCCAATACAGTAGATGGCGGCATGCACCTATAACATTTGTTTGCGGACCGCCATAATACCAAAGAAGAAGATAACGTCATCATCCAGCGTCCGTTCAAATCAGCGATACTCTCCCCGAATTTAAAAAGGGAAATATTAATCCCATTACTGTTAAACTAGACAAATAAACCAGTTTAGATGATAGACATGATTGAGAAGGAGGAATCGGGGGGGGGGGGGGGGTGTAACAGAGTTAGGTCAGAGGTAACCTAAAGTAGCAGGCGTAAAATAAACACCTGAAACTACATACTGGTCTTGAGGAGAAGGGGAAAAAACTGTTGGGGGAGGTTCTCTTTTGCACTGTCCAACCAATCCAGTAAATGTGGAGGAGGAGTTAAGATGGAGCTTGGACTTTAACGTCCAATAGCGGAAGTAGCGTCACAGGCTCTTTCTGTTCACCCTGAAAACCGTTCTATACACTGATCTTTACAGGAAACCTACTGATCGTAACAGTTTGTTGAGGGCTGATAGTTGTCATCCGCTTCCCTTGAAAAACAGTTTGCCCTACAGCCAATTCTGTCGAATCAAAATAATTTGTAAAAAAACAATCAGACTTCGACCGTAATATGGCTGAGACGCAAAGAAAATTCAAGGAGAGGGGGTACAAAAATGGTGAGATTAATACTGCCATTGAGAAAATTCAAAACAAATCGAGACCTGATCTCTTTCAAGGACAGTCTCGCAAAAAGAAGCATTCTTGCGTTCTAACTACACGCTATTCAAAGTGCTCTGAACAAATTAAGGGAATCGTTCACAAACATTGGCACATTCTAAGATCCGATGACAGTATTGGTAATGTGTTTTCAGACCCTCCCTTGGTTGTATTCTCGCGGGGCAGAAATCTCAGAGATCAATTGGTAAACTCTGATTTACCACCCCTAAATATCCCTGCACAACATCTATTTGCACCTCTACCGGATGGAAACTACAAGTGTAACGGCTGCGCTCAATGCAATGGCACTTACAAATGTAGATCCTTCAAACCCCCAAACAGGGAAACAGATCCCAATCAAAGGTGTTATTACGTGCTCCACTAAGGCAGTTATTTATCTTATAACTTGTCCTTGTGGTAAAAATTATGTGGGTAAAACAAAGCGCGAATTAAAAAACCATTAGGTGCAAAAACTCGACATACCCAGTCGCTGCCCACTTTTTGGAAGCGAACCACTCGATTTCTTCCCTACGTTATATCGGCATCGAACAGGTCACCCTCCCTAGGAGAGGGGGTGACCTCGACAACTTATTGTTAAAACGAGAGGCTGCCTGGATCTTTAATTTAAAGACCCTTGCTCCCTTCGGTCTCAACGTAGACTTTGATTTGGAGCCATTCTTGTGATTTTGCTATTCATTGTAAATGTTGTGGGCCTATGTAGCCAAGTATCTATGATCATATGCTATCCATGTTTTTTGTATGTTGTTTTTATCTGTGAATTGGCCAATGCTATTAGGCCACACCCAGCCATGATTACAGACACCTGCGTGTGTCCTTTGACACTATATAAACTAGTGACCCGCAGTGTTTGTCATTATACCCTGATGAAGACAGCTTGTCTGTCGAAACGTTGGTTATTAGGATATTAAATTATTGCATCTGAGCTCCTAGAGTGTGCGGCTTTCCTTTTCTTTTTCACCCTGAAAACCGGAACATCCGGTTGTTGGGGACTCGGCAGAGGCATGGTGAGAGGGAACCTTCCCAAGTAGGCTAATGGTGGAGTGAAACGCTGAGAAAATTGCAGGACAATATACATTAATTCTACAAACCACTAACTATTTCTGCTCCCTTGCTTCTCAGGTGACGGAGGAGTTATGCCGAGCCCAGTTCCTGATTCCAGTGAGCACTCAAGGCCAGAACCGAGCACAGGCCTCCCTGGAGCGGGCCCAGTACCTCAACCCCATGGTGGAGGTGAAGGCAGACACAGACAGGTTGGAGACCAAACCAGATTAATTCTTCCTTCAATTTGAGGCAGTGAGTACAGTAGTGCAGGATCGGCCTAGTGTCAAGATTACTTTTGTTCATTATTTTGTTACCCTAAATGGCCACTAGGTGGTGCGTTTACACCATTCTTACTACATGTTGCTCTGGGCAAATCAAATCAAATTTTATTGGTCACATACATATATTTAGCAGATGTTATTACGAGCGTAGGGAAATGCTTGTGTTCCTAGCTCCAACAGTGCAGTAGTATATAACAATTCACAACAATACACACATCTAAAAGTAAAAGAATGGAATGAAGAAATATATCAATATTAGGACGAGCAATGTCGGAGTGGCATTGACAAAATACAGTAGAATAGAATACAGTATATACATATGAGATAAGTAAAGCAGTATGTGAACATTATTAAAGTGGCCAGTGATTCCATGTCTATGTAAACTCAGCAAAAAAAGAAACGTTCTCTCACTGTCAACTGCGTTTATTTTCAGCAAACTTAACATGTGTAAATATTTGTATGAACATAACAAGATTCAACAACTGAGACAAACTGAACAAGTTCCACAGACATGTGACTAACATAAATGGAATAATGTGTCCCTGAACAAAGGAGGGGTCAAAATCAAAAGTAACAGTCAGTATCTGGTGTGGCCACCAGCTGCATTAAGTACTGCAGTGCATCTCCTCCTCATGGACTGCACCAGATTTGCCAGTTCTTGCTGTGAGATGTTACCCCACTCTTGCAAGTTCCCGAACATTTCTGGGGGGGAATGGCCCTAGCCCTCATCCTCCGATCCAACAGGTCCCAGACTTGCTCAATGTGATTGAGATCCGGGCTCTTCGCTGGCCATGGCAGAACACTGACATTCCTGTCTTGCAGGAAATCACGCACAGAACGAGCAGTATGGCTGGTGACATTGTCATGCTGGAGGGTCATGTCAGGATGAGCCTGCAGGAAGGGTACCACATGAGGGAGGAGGATGTCTTCCCTGTAATGCACAGCGTTGAGATTGCCTGCAATGACAACAAGCTCAGTCCAATGATACTGTGACACACTGCCCCAGACCATGACGGACCCTCCACCTCCAAATCAATCCCGCTCCAGAGTACAGGCCTCGGTGTAACGCTCATTCCTTCGACGATAAACGCAAATCCGACCATCACCCCTGGTGAGACAAAACTGTGACTCGTCAGTGAAGAGCACTTTTTGCCAGTCCTGTCTGGTCCAGCGACGGTGATGTCTGGTGAGGACCTGCCTTACAACAGGCCTACAAGCCCTCAGTCCAGCCTCTCTCAGCCTATTGTGGACAGTCTGAGCACTGATGGAGGGATTGTGCGTTCCTGGTGTAACTCAGGCAGTTGTTGTTGCCATCCTGTACCTGTCCCGCAGGTGTGATGTCCCGCAGTGTTTAAACCCTTTACAATGAAGATCTGTGAAGTTATTTGGGTTTTTGCGAATTATCTTTGAAAGACAGGGTCCTGAAAAGGGGACGTTTCTTTTTTTGCTGAGTTTCTAAGGTGCAGGGTTGAGTAGCCGGGTGGTAGCCGGCTAGTGAAGGCTATTTAACAGTCTGATGGCCTTGAGATAGAAGCTGTTTTTCAGTCTCTCGGGTTTCAGCTTTGATGCACCTGTACTGACCTCGCCTTCTGGATGATAGCGGTCCTGTGTAGCTCAGTTGGTAGTGCTTGCAATGCCAGGGTTGTGGGTTCGATTCCCACGGGGGGCCAGTATGAAAAATTTATGCACTCACTAACTGTAAGGCGCTCTGGATAAGTGCGTCTGCTAAATTACTAAAATGTAAATGTAATAGCGGGGTGAACAGGCCTTGACTCGGGTGGTTGATCATTTTGGCCTTCCTGTGACATCGGGTGCTGTAGGTGTCCTGGAGGGCAGGCAGTGTACCCCTAGTGATACGTTGGGAAGACTGTACCACCCTCTGCAGCAGACCAATGCCAGTATAGCACCTGTTTTGCACAGATCTTTATGTATTTTTTCTGCAGATTTAAGCCGTTTTTGAATGATGATGAGTTCCATTGCATGTAGTTGCACTTTGTTCACGAAACTTAGTGATAACAAGTGTTTTTCATTGGATATCCCTGTTAAAAGGGATACTTCAGGATTTTGGCAATGAAGCCCTTTATCTACTTCCCCAGAGTCAGATGAACTCATGGATAACATGTGTATGTTTCTGCATTCAATATGAAGGAAGTTAGAGGTAGTTTCATGAGCCAATGCTAACTAGCGTTAGCGCAATGACTGGATGTCTATGGTATCTACTAGCATGCTAGCAGTTACAATAGACTTCCAGTAATTGCGCTAACGCTATTTAGCAACTTCCTTCAAACTGCACACAGAGACATACAAATTGTATCCACAAGTTCATCTGACTGGGGAAGTAGGTAAAGGGATTCATAATATGATGCATATAAATATTATTTATACATTGACGGAGTGAGGGAATTGACAGGTGCCAGTAGGGAGAAAAAATTACAAAAAATAAAGACCCTCGAGTTTGGAGATAAATATATTTATCTAACTTTTGTCTGAACAGCTAACAAGTAGAAACATAGCTTTCCTGTGGCGTTTGGTTCCAGACACACTGCAAAGCAAGCTGTCTAAAGTGCTCTGCTCTGAATCGTGTAGTGGTGGGGTTTTGAAGAGACTCTTCATCAGATGCTCAGGGATTTTCAAAGCACAAACGATCTGCTTCCCCAGTCTGTCTGTGGCGGAGAAACGGCGGAAGCGTCCCGGGGGGAGTGCTAATGGAAGTTCAGGAGGAGGGGGAGGCGGAGTGGGCTTTGCTGTAGACTGGTAGCCTCTTTTATCTGCTAGCTACGGATATGTCTTGTCTGTGTGGTGCAGCACTGGGAAACTGGAACTTGTTGAAATTTGCTGCAATACATGACAAGGGGCTGCTCTTTTTAGTCACCGTGTTTTGGACTGAGGGATTGATATGTCTGGATTATAGTTTTGATCCCGAGAGAGTTTGCAGGTGTTTTTGTCTTTTAGAGATAATTTGAGGCAACAATTCACACCCACAACAAACAAACAAACTCTCTCATTTACTTCACTCAGCATACTGGTATACTCTCCCCATTCTCACTCATGTACTCTCATTGAGTCTATCATAACCACTCATTCTCTGCATGTCTATCACTTTACTTCTCCCTTCACCTCCTACCAGACCCATTCTCCGTTGTTAGGTTCCATTGTACAGATAAGCTATATAACCCCCACCCCCTTTCCTTGCTTCCTTCTTTTCACTCCCTCTCTCCTTCGCCTCTCAAACAATCCAGCTCAGTGTCCCTCTTCACAAAGTCCTTGCCGGAGGCCATCGGGAGGAGGCGCCCGAGCTGCACGCCTCCTTCAAAGGGAGGGAGGATCTGTGGAGAGACAGACCGACAGATAGTACGGCTGGCCAGACTGCTAAAAAGCCCTGTCCCCTCTGGCCTGCCAGTGCCAGCACTCCCAGTTCCCACTGCCAATCCCCTCTAATGAACTACACCAGCAGCAGTAACTCAACATGTCCAGCCAGGGTCTCCCTCAGTGTCTATCGCCAGTGCCACAACACAGAGGGCTTGCCTTTTTGTAGCTGATAACTAAAGCCAATAGGACTTCCATAGTAGTCTGTAAGGGTCCCCCTTCCCCCATAATACCTTCTTCCTGTTGAGGTGTGTGGTTTAAGGAAGATCTCCAGTCCATTTTTCAATCATCAAGCATGCACCCGGCTTTGATGATTAGTCTATCCATCTTCATTAGCTAAGGGCACAGCAATTAAAAACAACTTCAACCATGCAGTAACACGTCAATAAGCTGCCCTTGGAAAAACACTGGCGCGTGTAGTGAATTCGATGCTGGCACCTCCCAACATTGTGGTACTTTGTGTTCCGGGAGGGACCAGCGTGTACCACTCACCCATGTCAGGGATGCCACAGACAGATGCCCGTCAGCTGCCAGACAGCCCCTTATCTCTAGCCAAGTGTGGTGTGCTGAGTTTGGTCTGGAGGATAAGATGGACCCAGCCCAAGTGTCAGTTGTTTATTAAGGCCAATTCTCTTTTCCCACCCTGTTCAGATAGAACAAACTAGTCGATTCTTCGATTTTGTTTACTTGAACATGTTTTGTGTCAGAAGGACAGGGCGTCTGTTGTAGAAGCTGGTGGGTGTGATGTTCAAGGGGGGTAACTGAAGGAGTAGGTTGTTGTTTAAGGATGGCTATGGTGGAGGTGTGTGTGTGTGTGTGTGTGTGCACGTAAATGTAGAGTTAGGCCTACTTGTTCATCATCAAGTACTTTGTAATCACATTCCCTGCAAAGTCTCTCAATGAACATGTACACTGTAATGCAAAAGTATGTGGACACCCCTTCAAATTAGTGGATTCGGCTACTTCAGCCACACCCGTTGCTGACAGGTGTATAAAATCGAGCACACAGCCATGCAATTTCCATAGATAAGCATTGGTGACGGAGCCACTTTCAATGTGGCTCCGTCATAGGATGCCACCTTTAAAACAAGTCAGTTAGTCAAATTTCTGCCCAGATAGAGCTGCCCCAGTCAACTGTAAGTGCTGTTATTGTGAAGTGGAAAGGTCTAGGAGCAACAACGGCTCAGCTGCGAAGTGATAAGCCACACAAGCTCACAGAACGAGACTGCTGAGTGCTGAAGCGCGTAAAAATCATCTGTCCTCGGTTGCAACTCACTACCGAGTTCCAAACTGCTTCTGAAAGTAACGTCAGCACAATAACTGTTTGTCGGGAGCTTCATGAAATGGCTTTCCATGGCCGAGCAGCTGCACACAAGCCTAAGATCACCATGCGCAATGCCAAGCATCGGCTGAAGTGATGTATAGCTCGCTGCCATTGGACTCTGGAGCAGTGGAAACGCGTTCTCTGGAGTGATTAATCACGCTTCACCATCTGGCAGTCCGACGGACAAATCTGGGTTTGGCGGATGCCAGGAGAATGCTACCTGCCCCAATGCGTAGTGCCAACTGTAAAGTTTGGTGGAGGAGGAATAATGGTCTGGGGCTGTTTTTCATGGTTCGCGCTAGGCCCCTTAGTTCCAGTGAATGGAAATCTTAACATTACAGCATACAATGACATTCTAGACGATTCCGTGCTTCCAACGTTTTGGCAACAGTTTGGGGAAGGCCCTTTCCTGTTTCAGTATGACAATGCCCCCGTGCACAAAGCGAGGTCCATACAGAAATTGTTTTTCGAGATCGGTGTGGAAGAACTTGACTGGCCTGCACAGAGCCCTGACCTCAACCCCATCGAACACCTTTGGGATGAATTGGAACTCTGACTGCAAGCCAGGCCTAATCGCAAAACATCAGTGCCCGCAGCAATGTTCCAACATCTAGTGGAAAGCCTTCCCAGAAGATTGGAGGCTGTTCTAGAAGCAAATGGGGGACCAACTCCATATTAATGCCCATGATTTTGGAATGAGATGTTCAATGAGCAAATGTCCACATACTCTGGGTCATGTAGTGTAGTTAGCACCATGGGAGTTGTAGTTTTAGCTGCTCTCTCTGACTTTGTCCTGCCCTCCCTTATTGCTCTCAGGTGTGTCTGACCGGCTGCTCCAGAGATCTGATGGTGCGCGTGGACCAACTCTGTGCCCAGCACAACATCAAGGTCTTCTGTGGCGACGTCTTTGGTTACCATGGATACATGTTCTCCGACCTTGGCCAGGAGCACAACTATGTTGAGTAAGTGTTGTGTGTGTGATTGTCTTGTGTCTGTTTAATTTACTTGTCTTGATTAATCATCAGTTATACTTATGCTCATCTGTCCCTTGTTTTGATGCCCCATCCAGGGAGAAGCCCAAAGTAGTCAAGCCCAAAACAGAGGAGTCCAATGATGGACCTGAGGCCAAGAATCCAAAGGTTGACCACCATGATCAAAAAGGTGAGCGCTGTATAAAAATAGCTCAATTAGAGTTTTATCAATGTATTGAATGTTATCCTCCTCCACATCTAATGATGTCATGTTCCTTGCCCTTTGGCGCTCTCTCTATCCCTACTGAACAGACGGCCAGCTTCTGCTCCTTGAAAGTGGCTCTGGAAGTGGATTGGACAAATGAGAAGGCCAAGAGCAGCCTGACGCGCACCCCCGTGGACTACTTCCTGCTACATGGTAGCTGCACCTTTCACAAAGCCATTGGATATAAATACCTATTTGATAAAAGAGAGTTAGAGCAGTAGCTGGCTGCCATCACGTCTTTTTCTTTTGCCATACGAAGCAGTGGCGCTATAGATTGATGCCCTCTATACGTGAGCGTCTGCAGCTCCATTGATATCGCCCACCACCATTCCTCCCTTCCTGTTTTGGTTGTTGTAGCATTGCACCCTGTTCCTTCTAGTCTGATTTGGTCCCTTTAATAGCCTTCACCTGGTTTCATAGACCCTCTTAACATGGCTCTGTTTCCATCACAGGCTCTCCTTGGCCAGTCGTGTGTGACTTTAGAACAGAGAAACAAACAGCTAGCCACCACCCACGACATTAATCCGCAAGGCTGCCTACTCTAGCCCCTGTTGTTGGCTAATATTAATATAACAGCCGGAAAGGAAAGAATTTGTTTGTTTTTGTCGTTTTCAGAGGTGTCTTACAGTATTTGGGTTTCTATAATTAGGTCTAGACATAGTGGTATCTCTCGACTGAGCTGCTCTTGAGGAAGTGGTGCTTCCTCTGTTACAGGCTGTGTTACAGCTCCTCTGTGTCCCAGGGGTCGGGGGTTAGCCTACTGTATCCAACCGTAACCCCTCCAGAGGAATGGAAGGCAGCACAGGCGTGGGGGCACATTACTGTTTTCCCTCAACTTTGATTTAGTTAATATAATTTGAATGTGTTGTTTTTGGTTCATCCCTGTTTGAATCTGATCAAGGATGTTCCAGACTACTCTTTTAAGACAATGTTTACTTTGCACAGATGTCTTTGTACACTTACATATTGTGCCAGTCTGTGGCAGATTTTGAGATAATTCTATGAAATTCAGTGGGTGAGAGAATATTTAGTTGAGGGTGATGATTCATGTGATGATGGTGATTGATGTTGGGTTTTTTATGTGTGTATGCGTGCGAGGTGTCAGTGTAGTGGAAATAGCCGTGGGCGGACTGGGCTCCATGATGTGTTTGATGGACAGCTAAAGAGAGGAAGTGATGACACCTGTTTTAACACTGAGGGGGTGAGGAGAGCTGCCGGGCTTAAAGGGGGGTTTAGAACTTAAAACGTCTCAGTTGCAACGTACGTCCATCTCGCTCCTTTTATTATATCCCTTTTAGTAATATTCAGACTCCAAACCACATCCTCCTCATATTGACACATCTTCCCACAGTCTCACACAGGATGGGTGTAGTACTGGTGGTGCGTGCTGACAGGACAAGGACATGAGTCATAGATGTCTGATCACGGCCCTGTCAAACTGATCAAAAACTGCTCTTCATTCAAATGAAGAGGTTCGTTGGCGCAACACTTGTGGTACGTTGATTGCCACTGTCAATCGTCTGTGGTACAACACAGATAAAGATCTGATTGCACACCGTTTCCACAAGATGATCAGTATGTAATTGGAAGTGTGTGTTTCAATTTGTTTGACTTTTGTTTTGTTTTTGCCAGCCAGTGTCATTCCAGCAAGTGATAGAATCACAACCCCACCAACATTTCCACAGTAACATATTCTGTGTTGTATGGAAATGCATCTCAGTATATGTAGCAACGTAACACATCAAATCAGAGCTTCTTCTGTGTGTCTTCTCTGGTTTCCAGCACTTCTCCACCACGTTCTATTGTTCACTCTCTCTTCATGTGTTCCTCTCTTCTTTCCCACAGTACTGCTGAAGTTCCGTACTGACAAAGGTCGTGACCCCCACCCACAAAGCTTTAAGGCAGATGCCACGCTCCTGAGACAGATCCGTGATGACGCCCTGGAGGCCATGGGGCTGAGTAGCGAGCTGCTGCCTCACGACTTTGTCAGGTGACTGGCTCAATTCAACCCAGATTCCACCACATGGTGCATCACTTGACAGCCTTTCACATGTTAAGTTGGACTGTTAGTAATACAGTGCATTTGGAAAGTATTCCACATTTTGTTATGTTACAGCCTTATTCTAAAATTGAATAAATTGTTTTTTTCTTCATCAATCTACACACAATACCCCATAATGACAAAGAAAAAACAGGTTTTTATTAAAAATAAATAACTTAAATATCACATTTACATACAGTGAGGGAAAAAAGTATTTGATCCCCTGCTGATTTTGTACGTTTGCCCTCTGACAAAGACATGATCAGTCTATATAATTTGAATGGTAGGTTTATTTGAACAGTGAGAGACAGAATAACAACAAAAAATCCAGAAAAACGCATGTCAAAAATGTTATGAATTGATTTGCATTTTAATGAGGAAAATAAGTATTTGACCCCTCTGCAAAACATGACTTAGTACTTGATGGCAAAACTCTCGTTGGCAATCACAGAGGTCAGATGTTTCTTGTAGTTGGCCACCAGGTTTGCACACATCTCAGGAGGGATTTTGTTCCACTCCTCTTTGCAGATCTTCTCCAAGTCATTAAGGTTTCGAGCCTGACGTTTCCAGCCTTGTGTAGGTCTACAATCTTGTCCTTGACATCCTTGGAGAGCTCTTTGGTCTTGGCCATGGTGGAGAGTTTGGAATCTGATTGATTGCTTCTGTGGACAGGTGTCTTTTATACAGGTAACAAACTGAGATTAGGAGCACTCCCTTTAAGAGTGTGCTCCTAATCTCAGCTCGTTACCTGTATAAAAGACACCTGGGAGCCAGAAATCTTTCTGATTGAGAGGGGGTCAAATACTTATTTCCCTCATTAAAATACAAATCAATTTATAAAATGTTTGACATGCGTTTTTCTGGATTTTGTTGTTGTTATTCTGTCTCTCACTGTTCAAATAAACCTACCATTAAAATTATGGACTGATCATGTCTTTGTCAGTGGGCAAACGTACAAAATCAGCAGGGGATCAAATACTTTTTTCCCTCACTGTAAGTATTCAGACCCTTTACTCAGTACTTTGTTGAGGTACCTTTGGCAGCGATTACAGCATCGAGTCTTCTTGGTTATGACACTACGTATGATGCTACAAGCTTGGCACACCTGTATTTGGGGACTTTCTCCCATTCTTCTCTGCAGGTCCTCTCAAGCTCTGTCAGGTTGGATGGGGAGCGTTGCTCCACAGTTATTTTTAGGTCTTTCCAGAGATGTTCGATCAGGTTCAAGTCCAGGCTCTGGCTGGGCTACTCAAGGACACTTGTGCGTTGTCTTTGCTGTGTGCTTAGGGTCGTTGTCCTGTTGGAAGGTGAACCTTCACCCCAGTCCGAGGTCCTGAGCGCTATGGAACAGGATTTCATCAAAGATCTCTCTGTACTTTGCTCCATTAATCTTTCCCTTGATCCTGACTAGTCTCCCAGTCCCTGCCGCTGAAAAACATCCCCATAGCATGATGCTGCCACCACCATGCTTCACCGTAGGGATGGTTCCAGGTTTCCTCCAGACGTGACGCTTGGCATTCAGGCCAAAGTGTTCAATCTTGGTTTCATCAGACTAGAGAATCTTGTTTCTCATGTTCTGAGTCCTTTAGGTGCCTTTTGGCAAACTCCAAGCGGGCTGTCATGTGCCTTTTACTGAGGAGTGGCTTCTGTCTGGCCACTCTACCATAAAGGCCTGATTGGTGGAGTGCTGCAGAGATGGTTGTCCTTCTGGAAGGTTCTCCCATCTCCACAGAGGAACTCTGGAGCTCTGTCAGAGTGACCATCAGGTTCTTGGTCACATCCCTGACCAAGGCCCTTCTTCCTCAATTGCTCAGTTTGGCCGGGCTGCCAGCTCTAGGAAGAGTTTAGGTGGTTCCAAATTGTTTCCATTTAAGAATGATGGAGGCCATTTTGTTCTTGGGGACCTTCAATGCCACAGAAATGTTTTGGTACCCTTCCCCAGATCTGTGCCTCGGCACAATCCTCTCTCGGAGCTCTGCGGACAATTCCTTCGACCTCCTGGCTTGGTTTTGCTCTGACATGCACTGTCAACTGTGGGACCTTATATAGACAGGTGTGTGCCTTTTCTAATTCATGTCCAATTCAATTTACCACAGGTGGACTTCAATCAAGTTGTAGAAACATCTCAAGGATGATCAATGGAAACAGGATGCACCTGAGCTCAATTTCGAGTCTCATAGCAAAGGGTCTGAATACTTATGTAAATAAGGTTTTTTTTGTGTGTTTTTTTAAATAGAGTTTTTGATTTTTCATTATGGGGTATTGTGTGTAGTTTGAGGGGGAAAAAAACAATTGATTGCATGTTAGAATAAGGCTGTAATGTAACAAAATTTGGAAAAAGGCAAGGGGTCTGAAAACTTTCCGAATGCACTCTGTTTTTAGGGGTGTTGCATCTGCCAGTGATGGTAGTTATTAGATATATCAAAGATCATCTGTAACTGGCTGCTCCATTCTGAGCTATTTCAGTTTTTCAGAGTTAAGACAATTGTTAATTCATCCTTATGAACACGAAAGAGTTTGTGTATTTCTGTTGGTGACACTCATGTTGTGGTGTTGTGTCATCAGATACTGCTTCTCTGAGATGGCCCCTGTGTGTGCTGTGGTGGGTGGCGTGCTGGGACAGGAGGTTGTCAAGGTTGGTTGTCAAGTTTTTTAAATGTTATTATTGACTTTTCATTAGTTTCTTTGACTTTACATCATTCATACTCTACTGTCCATCCTGGCTCTAAACTAGTGTGAACCACCACACATTAGACTGTCTGTACCACATTTACTGTTGTGCAGCTTTCACTGGGGAGAAAGAAACCATGTTATATTTTGGGGAGGCAGAAAGCTAAACACTTGACAGCAGGCCACTCCACTTGATTCTGGGTCCAATCCAGAAATACCCACTGATATGTTTCAGTACTGTGGGGCTTTTGGGAAGATTTAGGTGGACAGTGTGGCTGTTTTGGGTATGACCTGGGTATTGGAGAATAAGGGAAGTGTCACAGTCCTACCTGTGTTTGAGAGTTGATGGAGCCAGGTAAGAAGAGGTAACGTCAGTCAGTACAGACAAACCTCTCAGCGGGATGATGGTACTGCGCCAGGCTGTCTGTCTCCACGATATGATGTAATGATGAAACCGGATGAAACGGCCTGCAACCGGCAGACATCTCACTGGGTGAAGTCAAGCGATCACGCAGCGGACAGTGCACCCCATGCTCACGCAGTGGAGCGGACACTAGAGTACACCCCATGCATGCAATGCAGGGAAAGCTGGTGAAGCTCCCACAGCAAAGCTGTCCTTAGCTATTGTGGGCTTAGTTTGAGAGATGGTCAGGTAGTGTGTGTGTGTGTGTGTGTTGTTGGCTGGTATGTTTGTTTGTTTCTACAGGCTATTTCCCAGAGAGACGCACCGCACAAGAACTTCTTCTTTGACGGTATGAAGGGCAGCGGGGTGGTGGACTACTTTGGCCCAAGGTGATCGACCATATTCCCACCAATAGAGGTGTGTGCATGGGACATTAAGGACTACACTCACATACTCAGTAACAGTTTTGAGTTCTGTCATTCTTTTTTCAAGTCAGACTATTTATCAATGTGTAACCATTCACCTCAGCTGAAAGTTCAACAAGTGTTTCAACAGGCGAAAAGCATTTGTCATTATACATCAATTTTTTTTATACCTGCGCACACAACACACCTACTAGACGGTTTTTGCAGCATACCTTTTTTGAATTTTGATTTTTTTTGTTTGCTATTGTTAGACTGTCCATTTATGTTTCTAGCACACAGAGGGATTTTTACATTTTGTAATAAAAAATATTGTGAACAAAATGATTAGCCTTTGAGGGGTTATCTGGAAATTCAAAGTAGTGACTCAATGGTTGTGTAGCGGTGGATCATATAGGTTCAAATTAGTGGATATACGGCCAGCGACCTGCTGTTAATTCAGTGCATGATGTCATGCCGTATGTGGATGAAAGAGCAGGTATCAGTGCCCTGCAGCACAAAACAAAGGGATTGTTCCAGATGCTTCCAAGACATGCCAAACAGGCCTATCATGAGCATGATAGTTTCCTCTTCAGTCACCCAAACGGGATCTCTCCCTCCATCAGCGGCAGGTGGATGGACCTGTAGAACTGGTCTGTACATGGAGGGAGTGGCAACCCCCTAGACAGAGTGCCCCGTGTACATCAGATAAATTAGTGGTGAGCTTTTGACATTGACACTTGACTGACTTCTGATTTACATTGGTAGTTTAGCAGACACTCTTATCCAAAGCGACGTACAGTAGTGAGTGGATACATTTTCATACTGTGAGAAATGACAACGTGCATTGTGAAACTGTCAATGTAAAGGATGGTTCTTCCCCAAAAAGTGTTTTTGTCCTTGACAATAAAACTGTACATGCAGAGATGTGTCTTCTCAAGCCAGGCACAAAGCAGCATGAAATTCCACATAGTTTATCATGTTTGTTTGTGTGTCTGTTTGTGATGTATTGAAGAAAGAACGGGGAGGGGGAAAGCACCTTGTTTTTCGCCTGCAGCGGGGATTCGTGAAAAGGAAAACAGCCAGAGCCTTGAAATGAAACCATGACTGATTAAGCCCCATAAGGAGTCACTGCTCTTTTCCAGGGATTAGGAAAATGCAGGATTAATTACGGACATCGCTTTAAGCCCATCCTTTTAATTAAAGCACATCTCTTATCTCCTCTCCCTGACCACCCCACCCATCCCCCATCTCCCACTCTTAAAAAAAAAAAAAAGCTACCCCCTCCAGCACTGTGGTGTGGTCATTCATTTTGTAAAGACCCCAGACTGAGCAGCAAAGATCCAAGCGGTCATTCCAGACACCAATCACAATGGGGAACTCATTCCGCCGCTGACATGGAGGCTTTCCATTGGTTCATATGTGGCACAAAGTGCAGGTGAGGACCTCTGGTCCAGATGTTGACTCATTCCAAAGCGTCTTGACGGCGTGTTCAACAGGGGGGGTCTTATTGATTATAAGTAGGTGTCATTCTTCTTGTTTTGGAGACAATGTGCAATCTAGGCCATGTTTAGAATTACGAGAACAACAAAGCCTTCCTGAATAGAGGACAGCCTACAGTACAACAATCTCAAAACATTCCCACATAATGTCATTAGCAGCAAACATCAGAGCTGTGTAGTTACTGAAGATGTGTTCATGTTATCTGGTAATCCCCTACATGTTCTCCATTTACTGTATGTAGCGTGTCTGTTTGTCAAGCACCTCCAGTCCAGACCACCACACTGACCATCACACGCTAGCCAGAGTTGCGTCACAGTCCCCCATTCATCCACCACCAGGAATCAGGTGACTGACTACAAAGAGTCATTGGTGTGATAAGATCTTACCAGTATAATACGGTACCAGAAACAGGAGACTAGTAAAATAATGTAACCTGAGATTGTTCTTTAATCCAGGGCCATGAGAATAAAGTACTTGTGAACCAACAAAAGTAATTGTATTAACATTACGCTGCAAAGGGTCACTCAATTTTATCACAGACAATCATATCATTCTATTATAGTCTTTATTTTAAAGGTCCAACGCAGCCATTTTTATCTATCAAATCACTTCTGGGTAACAATTAAGTACCTTACTGTGATTCTTTTCAAAAAGAAACAGAAATAGCATCTTAGCAAAGAGCAATTTCTCAAGCAAAGGTTTTGCTAGGACTGTCTGGGAGTGGTCTGAGTCGGGAGGTGAAAACTAGTTGTTATTGGCAAGTAGGTTTGGAACTATTTTTCTTATTGGTCTATTAACTAATTTACCGCCTGGTGATGTCACCTGGCAGGCAAAATATCTGTCACACCAAAACAGGCAGAAATTTCAGCCGTCTTTTCAAACAGCTCTTAAACTAAAAGGGCATTATCATAATTTTCACAATTTCAGAGTATTATTCCAACCTCATAGTGTGGAAATATACATAAAACACAGGGAAATCACATTTTTGACTGCACAGGGCCTTTTAATAAAAATCATAATCTGATAATCTTACTCAAAAATACATGCCAGAACAAGTGAATAGATTTCATATCTTTATTGTAAAAAAAGGAAAAAATCTGTACAAAAAATTCATGTAGAAAGTTCATTAAAGAAAAGTCAAAAACAGCAAATTTACACTGCATGAAACTGAGATTGAGATTACAAAAAAATGTGGCGCTACTTTACAGTACCTTCAGTAGCGCCGTCCCTCTGTGAGGGACTGCATTGGGGAATGGAACCACAAGAAGTCACACAGTCGCCACAGGAAGTGGACCACACCACAGGATGTCATGAGCCAGTCACAGGAAATGAACTACACATGCTCAGAACGCTATGGGGACGCCCAGTCGCACACAGAAAAAAAGTGGTTGGGTATTCTCACAGGTTCTTTGCTAACAAGTGTAATGACATTGCAGAAAGGGGCTTAAAAAAAAAAAAAGCCCTGAACTGAAAACAAAGCAGAGACTGCAGAAATGTTAAGGCCATGTAAGTGATACAGTATGGCAACACACAGAAAATAGTATGATCACAGTTGTATCCATCAGAACTTCTATTTAAGGTTTACATGGCAAGTTGGGACTGTATTAACCTCTTGGGTTCAAGGTTAAACTGTTGGCTACAGTGAAGTCTCAGTTTCTCCCACTTGACATGCAAACGTTCTCAACCGATTTCCATCACTACATTGCTTGTTGTTGCGACCTCTTTCTAGACATTTAGACAAACTTTGTTCCTCATTGTAATGCTTTGGAATGATAGGGAGTAAGTTGGTTTACAAAAATGGTATGTCTTTCTTAAAAGGCCTGCTTTCCTGGACGCATTGAAATCAAACTTTGTGTATAAACTGGCTATGGAAACAGTCATACGGCGCCACTTTTAAATGGAATGCCTTTGCAAAGACCGATAACTCTAACACAGTTGACGGTTCACCCTTCGTGTAACTGGGGATGAACTGACTTTGGTCCAGTTAGTCCAGTCTATTGTCATATTTATCTCTAAGCTTTTTCAATCCTCATTTTATGGGTTCTTGGCTTTCTAATACATTTTGTAATCATCTTTTATTAGGAATGAAAAGTAAAAAATAACTTAATTATATCACAAATTTTTTGAAAACAAAATGCTACAAAACGTGGCTACCGTCAAGCTAAATGAAGGTCTTCAGTTTCTTCTCCCAAACTACAATACATGTATCGTACAATTGAGGGGCAATTTGATCATCATTTGATCATCTTTATTAATCATGAAAAGATTAAAATCCAAATAATGTTTTAACCAGAAATACCATCTCAAATCCACTGGATTTAAATACACTAACTGCTTCCAACTGTTGGTCCAAAGACAAAAAAAACTGCACACATGGCAGATTTCAAACACAAACAGAGAACTTACGATTTAAGTACCTTTAAAGCTCATTGAATCTCATCCAATGACAACAGGTCTTCAGACAGAGAAATAGCCATGATGGCTTATTACTGTCTCCACCTCCAAACCATGCCATCATCTCCCAAAACAAATATATACAAACAATTTAACACTGTTAATAATAGTGGGATTGTACGACAGTGCTACATCTCAACTCAGAGCCTCTAACAGAGGTGATGGTCTGGTAACTGGCGCATAGTGTTCAGTCCCTGTGTGTGTGTGTGTGTGTGTGTGTGTGTGCGTAAGGAATGTGTGTGTGAGGGTGTCAACCACTGCTCCATCCAAGGTCCCACACACCAACCACTGATTGTCCTGGTGATAAGAGTAGGCCATTCTGGAGGGAGCGATAGAAAGCACATAAATTACAATGAAATGTATTCAGATTTGAAGGGAAGAGTAGCATACATATGAATTGATATACTCCACTACACTTAGAAAAAAAGGTGCTATCTAGAACCTAAAAGGGTTCTTCGGCTGTCCCCATAGGAGAACCCTTTGAAGAACCCTTCTTGGTTCCAGGTAGAACCCTTCTTGGTTCCAGGTAGAACCCTTCTTGGTTCCAGGTAGAACCCTTTTGGGTTCTATGTAGAACCCTTTCCACAGAGGGTTATACATGGAACGCAAAAGGGTTCTACCTTGAACCAAAAAGGGTTCTCCTATGGGGACAGCCGAAGAACCCTTTTGGAACCCTTTTTTCTAAGAGTGTACTTGCATTTTTTACCAAGTCTAGTTGGTCCTGTCTGAAACTATAGGCCGACCTCTTGGAGTGAGGAAACATCCTAGTGCTAGACAGTAATGATTGTATGAGGCAAGTGTGTCTATACAGCAGATCCCATATACTATATCGCTATAACTTATCACAGAAGTAAGCTTAGCTCATCCAGTGATATAAACTGATTATTATTCAGGCCATAGTGTGACTTACAGGGGATTCTACACGGGCCCCTCAGTACCCGCATCAAGCCACACTGTCAAGGGCAGTTGAGTTACTCATTCTACCGTAGCCTCAATTGGAAGAAGTTGTACACACATACATGAGCCATAGTCTCTTCACCAAGTAAAGCCCTCGCGTCGCCACCACAACCAGCACAGCATCACTGTGCTTCACAGTTTACAAGGAAGGGTAAGAACACACACAAGCCCACACAGTCTGGGAGACCCACCTGGGTCAGAATGCTACATCAAGAGCAGTCCCAAAGAGAGATTGAAAAAATATATATATATACATAAGATGTACAAAAGAGACAAAACAAAAGGGGTCCATCCGTTCCAGCGGACTGAGTCCATTCTGAAGCAGTCTGTGATTAGTCCAGTAGGGAGCTCTGGCGCATCCAATCCCGATCCAGAGTCAGTTTATCTCAGTCGGTGCAGAGTGCTGAGGGTATCCGAGAGGAAATTGAGGACTCCTAGACACAGGCCTCTCCAGCCCTGCCGTTGGGGGATACCACCCTGAGAGAGAGAGCGAGAGAAATAGGAAGAATTTGTCCTCAACCCCAAAACAATTGTGTCTTTTACTGTTGGCCTTTCAGCCTTGATGCTTCTTCAAATGAACATTTGTTGACAAAGTGACCTTGGCAAGCCATGGATATAATGAACAGTCTGCAACAGTAAATAAGGGATAGAGGTTACATTGTTGATGATTGCAGTGTAACACTACATGGCCGTAAGTGACCTAATTCTGGACAACACTGAATTGACTTAACTATCAAGATCTATTTAGAATAGCTTGGGTCTTTACAAACATCCGCAATTTCACCAAGAGATTCATTTAGAAATGCCATAGGATAGCATTCCCTGTTCCATGCTTTAAGAGAAAGTCACAACATCATATCACTATGATATAGGCTATGTGCAACCACTACTACACAGTTTTATACTTTCTAGATTCTATACTTTTTAATGGCCTTTAATAGCCCCTTACTGGAACATGTGAGCTTTTATCGCGTGTGAGTCTGTGTGTGTGTTTGTGTGTATGTGTGTATGCGGTGCAACTGGGTGGAGTTAGGAAGTCCCAGACAGACACTGTCTGCAAAACAGAGTCAGTAGAGGCAGCACATCGCCCGTCAACAGCTGCTTTGAGTCACTCACTAAAAATAACCTGCTCCTTAGTAAGAGAGAGAGAGGTGAAAAAGAGAGAACGAGAGTGTGAAAGAGAGTGTGTGTGAATATGGGAACGAGACAGAGAGAAGTAGTAAAAACCAGACACTGACAGACAGAGGGATGCTAGCAGAAAGCTTAAAATACACAAAGAAAGAGAGTGCGAGTTATAGCTCAGGGAGGGAGGGAGAAAGAGAGGAGAGATTGAGAGGTGGGGAGAGAGAGAAATAGAGTAGGGGAGGATACAGGGTAAGGGAAGATAGAAAACCACTGACCACGCAGAGAAAGAGGGGCACAGTACGGGAGGTCACAAGACAAGATGCAGAAAAAACAACTGAACAAGAGAAACATTAGAGAGTGGTGGTGTTGAGTGAGTGTAGAGTGGTGGTGAGTGAGTGTAGAGTGGTGGTGGTGAGTGAGTGTAGGGTGGTGGTCGTGAGTGTAGAGTGGTGGTGGTGAGTGAGTGTAGAGTGGTGGTGGTGGTGGTGAGTGAGTGTAGGGTGGTGGTGTAGAGTGGTGGTGAGTGAGTGAGTGTAGAGTGGTGGTGGTGGTGGTGGTGGTGAGTGCGTGTCGCGTTGGGGGTGGTGCGTGTGTCGGTTGTGGTGGTGCGTGTCGGTGGTGGTGCGTGCGTGTCAGGTGGTGGTGGTGGTGGTGCGTGGTGTCGGGTGGTGGTCGTGAGTGTCGCGTGGTTGTGGTGCGTGAGTGTAGCGTGGTGGTGCGTGAGTGTCGCGTGGTGGTGGTGGTGGTGCGTGGTGTCGGGTGGTGGTGGTGCGTGTCGCGTGGTGGTGCGTGCGTGCGTGCGTGTCGCGTGGTGGTGGTGGTGGTGGTGGTGCGTGCGTGTCGCGTGGTGGTGGTGCGTGCGTGTCGCGTGGTGTGGTGCGTGCGTGTCGCGTGGTGGTGCGTGCGTGTGGCGTGGTGGTGGTGCGTGCGTGTCGCGTGGTGGTGTTGCGTGCGTGTCGCGTGGTGGTGCGTGCGTGTCGCGTGGTGGTGGTGGTGCGTGCGTGTCGCGTGGTGGTGCGTGCGTGTCGCGTGTGGTGGTGGTGCGTGCGTGTCGCTGTTGGTGGTGGTGCGTGCGTGTCGGGTGGTGGTGGTGCGTGCGTGCGTGCGTGCGTGCGTGTCGCGTGGTGGTGGTGGTGGTGGTGGTGGTGCGTGCGTGTCGCGTGGTGGTGGTGCGTGCGTGTCGCGTGGTGGTGGTGCGTGTCGCGTGGTGGTGGTGGTGGTGCGTGCGTGTCGGGTGGTGGTGTGCGTGTCGCGTGGTGGTGCGTGCCTGCGTGCGTGTGCGTGGTGGTGGTGCGTGCGTGTCGCGTGGTGGTGGTGGTGCGTGCGTGTCGCGTGGTGGTGCGTGCGTGTGTCCGTGGTGGTGCGTGCGTGTTTGCGTGGTGGTGCGTGCGTGTCGCTTGTTGCGTGGTTGTCGTGGTGCGTGCGTGTCGCGTGGTGGTGCGTGCGTGTCGCGTGGTGGTGGTGCGTGCGTGCGTGTCGCGTGGTGGTGCGTGCGTGTTGCGTGGTGTGCGTGCGTGTCGCTTGTTGCGTGGTTGTCGTGGTGCGTGCGTGTCTCGTGGTGGTGCGTGCGTGCGTGTGTGGTGGTGGTGGTGCGTGTCTCGTGGTGGTGCGTGCGTGCGTGCGTGTGTCGCGGTGGTGGTGCGTGCGTGTGTGGTGGTGGTGCGTGCGCGTCGCGTGGTGGTGTGGTGGTGCGTGCGTGCGTGTCGCGTGGTGTGGTGTGCGTGCCTGTTGCGTGGTCGGTGCGTGCGTGTCGCGTGGTGGGTGCGTGCGTGCGTCCTGTGGTGGTGCGTGCTGGTCGCGTGGTGTGCTGCGTGCGTGTGTGGGTGGGTGCGTCCGTGTCGCGTGGTGGTGAGTGCTGTGTGTCGCTGGTGGTGAGTGAGTGAGTGTGTGGTGGTGGTGAGTGTGTGTGTGTGTTTGTAGCAGCCCATTTGTTGTTACTTGTGCTAAGGAAGTCCCTGTTCTTTTAGCTATCCTCACTGTAAACAACGTTTCCCAAAATCCCCTGTCCTTCCACTGATACCAGACAGTAGGGCAAGAGCCAGTTTAACGAGGGCACATAATACATCGCCAACCTGCTCCACAGACCAAGGGCTTTATTATACTGTAATAAACTTCACTGTTTATTATGTGTGTGTGCGTGTGCGAGCATTTGTGTCTATGTCTGTGCGCACGTAGTGAATATCAACTCGGCAGTGGCATCCGTGTGAGTGAGTGAACGCTGGAGTAGGGTGACGTCAGCTGTGTTTGTCTGCAGAGGGGGGAGGCAGGTTGCCGGGTGCCGGGGGGAGGGGGAGATTAGGCTGTGTTTACTCCTGCGGCTGCCTCACTGACTGGCTCCTCACGCGATACAGCCCAGCAGAGCACACGGAGGGAGGGAGGGAGGGAGGGAGGGAGGGAGGGAGGGAGGGAGGAAGGGAGGGGTAAGGAGACGACAGAGGGAGGGGGAAGGGCATCAAGTTCACACAACTAGAAACTCAACTTCAGTCACAACACTCCCAGCTCATGGATATCATATTGATCCATTTACACCACTGGCACATGCACACATGCTCAATCATGCACACACACACACTCATCCACTCACATATACACACACACTGACTTACATTTAAATTGAAAACACCTCTACACATTTATCAGAACACACCAAACAATACACCATCTCACAAATAGATCATTCGTCCTTACCATTCTCTGGAGGATCGTAGTGTTCAAGTCATCGCCGATTCTCTTAAGCTGGTTGGCCACTAATTCCACCACCTCGTCTTCCAATTGCGGGTCCGCTACTCCAAGGGCTCTGTGCTGGGGGGAAGCCTGGTGAGAGCGCTCTCTCTGGGGCAGCAGGTCAGGCAGGGGATCCCTGGCTGTGGTGTCCTGGTGCTCTCTGTCTGGGTCTGGGGAGAAAAAAACAACACATGCCATTACTGCCTCTGGCAGACAGCTGGACCTCCATAGCCCACCACGACCATCTCTGAAACACAACATCAACTAGCCCATATCAAAGGCAGCACAGACCAGGCTGAATCAGGTCATGTTTTGGTAGGAGGCAGATTGTTGATAGCCTGCCGGCACATAAAACATGTCTCCTGTATATTGTTGTCTGTCTAGACAACACTTCTCTGGCTTCAAAATAGTTTTAGGTGTCTAGAAACAAGCATGGTTGTCTGGTCTGCTATAGACCACGTAAACCATATAGGCTACATGCTTAATGGTGGCTAGGCTGCTTAGCAACACAGACCCATTGTTTACTGGGTAACATGTGCCCCCCCATCCCCCTCCCTCTGCCCCCCAAAGCAACCCTCTTTTGAAAGTCAACCCTCACAATGCATACCCCCCCACCTCCCTCCACCACCCCTGTCAGACTGTTCAGGCTAATCTTGAATACTTTTTTAAATCTTGGGGGTTGCCGCCGTCAACCCCATATTTTCCCCTTCAAAGTTAAAATGTAATCTCAAAATCTGTTTAATAAGTCTAGAATACTTGTGTTTGTGTATTACAGTGTTTGTTAGAAGGAGGAACTCCTGTCTACTCTGTTCAGATTCAGAAGAGGATAAGAAAGCCTATTTGCATGGAGGTGATAAAAATGCAACTTATTCCCTTCTGATACTGCAACGCAAACTGTTGACACTGAAAGTACTGTGCGCATCACTACCACTGCCGACTGTGGTTGAGAAAATACATTTCAATCAAATCAAGTCAACTTTATTTGTCATATGCACAGGCTACATGGGGTGTACACAGTACAATTAAATGCTTTAGTGACCGTTTACAAACTGTTGCTCTGTGTCAAGATCCAAAGACACTTCAAATTAAGTGGAAGAAAAAAGCTCTGTGCATCCAATGGATGGTTTCCGTCCAATTTCCTCCCAAACCCCACTGTGTTTGTGCACAACCCTGACAGCGTGCTCCACAGGAAGCAAGGCTCCTGGCAACCACAGGATTTTGTCGCTGTCCTGAGTATTTTCTGATCCTTAAGATGCAGGTGACTAGACAGAGAGGGAGAGAGAGCGAGGGAGGGAGAGAGAGAGAGAGAGAGAGAACGGAGAGCGAGAGAACGGAGAGGAACTCTGGCTTGTTGCCAGGGTAACTATAAACTGGTGCTCCCAGAGACAGAATCAAGCCATTGGCGGACAGATTCAGAGGCTGGGATAGGGTGGACAGGCTGAGGGGCGGGGAGGGACCAGTCTGCCCGGGGACTGGGGAAGAGGCAGTGAGAGCCAGAGAGCGCAAAGGTAGAAAACACAAGGGAGGGGAGGGGTTAAAAGAGGGATTACAGAAGAAACAGAAATGGTCAAGTAGGACCAGCTGCGGTCCCTACGGAAGGAAACGGGGAGAGAGAGGGTAGGCTATGCCTCTAACCATGGAGGGCATTATATATTGACAGGATGGATGGTCGACTGGCTTGTTGAGCTGAACTCCCACTGAAGGAAGTGGAGCAGACTTCTCTCTATGGGAAGTCATGAGCAGGGGACAAGTCTCAACATGCCCCAGCCACAGCGTTTGACTTACAGCCAGAAAGAGAGGGAGCGAGCGCCAGAGAGAGATACTATTCCAAACTATTTATTTCAGTTGCATAGCCACGTGCTCAAAATGCTTCCCTCGCCTCCTAAGTAACTACATAGCCCCAAGACCAAAGCCTGCAGCCCTAAAGACCTCACATGCACAGCAACACCACACCACATCAGTACAACCCTGAACTCTTCTCTGACAAGATTCAGAGAAATAGCCTAATCCACACTTACCATTGCAATAAATGACAGTGACAATACCCCACATACTGTAGATTGTGTACATAGGCTAAACTTTTCACTGCTGTCAATGACCGTGATGCTCCTATTTGAGATGCAATACTCTGACTGCCTTCTTTCAGGCCTCTCTCCTCATTGGTTCCCATCTCAATTGTTTAGCGGTTTGTTTACTCTTTCCACAAGCATGAACACACCAGATCAAACTGAGTGCATAAAACAGTAGCAAATGTGTAACATTCGGTTGAGAGCTTTCTATCTGGGGTCCATGCCATTGCCAGGGGCAACCTTCTTAGTTAGCAAGTTCATACTTAAGGCAATCTAGGTAAAGCATCAATAGGTTTAGGCTATATAAGGGAGGCTGTTTAAAGGGCACATTTTCTGCACTGCTTGATATTTACATCCTACGGTGATGACAACAGTTTTATGACTACTAGCCTACCCATTTATACTTGGTGGAAAATTAACAGATGAGGAACTTCACTTAGACGTACAAGTATCAACGAGTCTTACAAGTATAATAACAATCACATTGAAGTCTTTTGCTTCATATTCAATGCATTTCTATTTCATCAACTTTCCTTTTCGATTGACTCACACATTCCATCACACAGTTAAGTGGGGAACTTTCCCATCCAATGCCACTGCACTGGCATGTGAGCATGATGTCCTTTGATGCTAGAATTTCCTCATAGCAGTAAGCTATTCATAGCTACCACTTATAATCCTATTCTAACATGACCATGGTTTCTGCCTCAGTGGCTTACCATTTAGGCCTATACCTAAGAACAGCAACACAGACTACATGAAACATCACAGTATCCAGCAACTAGTAGTAATAACCTACCTGTGCTTGCTCTTCTGGGGGTGTCCAGTGGATGGGCACTGGGGGGTGGGGAGGCTTCTCTCTGGGGCTGGGGGGGAGGAGAGCCCTGCCTGGGCTGGGTGTCCATGTTGGGGAGCAGTTGGTAGGACTTGTGGTATGCAGCCTGGAGAGGGTGGTTGCTGCCACCAGGCCAGGTGTCTGGCCGCTGGACCTCCATGCTGCATCTGTTTAGTCTGCCCCGGCCATGGCGGTCCACTCCACTCTCTGTCTGGGGGCGGGCCATACCAGGTGCAGTCTGTTGATGTTTACAAATGTATAACAAAATTGTAATAGATGATGACTGATTGCCTCTTTTACAAACGGTTGTCACCTGGTGGATATTGGGGAACTTTTTACTATGAGCGGTGTGTGTTTGTGTGTAAAGGCATGCAAACAATTAAGCCATGAGATAAGCCATCAACATTCTAAATGTTCATTCTAGCCCCAAGGTTCGCTAAAGTATACGTCTACAGGTATTTCGCGTCCCAACGTAAATAGCATAGCCGGCAATTCACTGCTATGGCAAATGTGTTGTGTACAGCGTCCAATCAGGTTGCACCAGTCTGTTTTTGTTTTTTTTACCCCTGCTGTACACAACGTCCAGAAGTAGCTAGCCACCCTAGCATGGTGGTGGAAAATTGTGTTTTATTAAGACAGTATACATCTTTTTATTTTTTTGGGGGGGTGGCACGATTGTATTACCAGCTAAGCTGATTGCGTTGACTAGAGGTAATACCAATGATTTATATATACACTAGATAACTGATAGGGGGCGCTGTGTTGAAGCCACCGTGCCTCCATCTTGGCACTCCCCCACCATTTGTAAAAAATATTTTGGAAGCTATAGAAATGCATTTATTAATGTCTACATTCGTTTTTGCCACATGTATTATATTACAGACACCTTAAAGCATACTTTTCAATTATATTATGTGAGCTAAACATAAAAATGAAAAGAATATATAAATTGATTACTAATGTTACTGGCCCCACTACAACAAAAATACTTAAATGTTCTTGAAGCATTTCATTGAAATACTGTAGAATTCCATTCATTCCTATGGAGGACTGTGGTGTGTATTCATGGGTGCCAAGGGAAGCCAGGCTTCCCCCAAAAATGTCCCAATAAAAATAAAATAAAAATTGTTAGTCTCTGTTTTCATGATTGTTTCTCACCGGAGAAAGCATCCGAGTGAGTGAAACAGCGCCCCTCTGTCTCTGTATGTGTAGGCCATCTATCTGATTCTGTCTGGTCATAAAGACCATTGTTGCTGCCCGTAGCATTGAATGCAAGGGAAGCCAGCGAGCATTTGGCCTCCCTTGATAAAAAACATTATAAAATAATCAGTGTTGCAGTGTTGCGCTAAACTGAGTTCAACTGTGAATGGTCCTGGCACACCAAAAAATAAATGTAATGGGAGCCAGTTTGTATTTGGCTTCTGTCCTATCACATCACATCAAAAATAAATATGTAGTTGACAGAAACAACTTGAATTGTAGCATCTCGTTGTGTTGTTGTCCTCCGGTGGCTAGCTAGCCAGCTGAAGTTGTCCCTTTCCTGAATTAACCATGGATGGAGATAGGGATTTGGACTTGTGATTTTACTTAATTCTCCGTACTTTCCAATGATTCTAACGGCAATTCTGATCCTACCATAAATTCATACATTGTGCCCCTGGACTGTGAGAATGGAAGTTCAATATGTAGCTATATGTAGAAGGCTAGCTAATGTTAACTAGCTAACGATGCCCATGAAAGGAAGTTAGGCTAGCGAGAAAGCATTTTGCCAGGTAGCCAAGGACAACAAAAAATAAAAGTGTGTACTGATTAACAGACCGTTTCATCAACATGAAAGAGAAGAGGATGGCATTGGCATGAGTCAACATGTTTTTCCTACTTGCACGAACACACGCGCACACACACACACACACACAAATCAGAACCATGGACAGCCATATTTAGCTTATGTTGATTGGACTAAATTGTTTTTGGTATCTTTTAGTTGTCAGTGTATTAGACTAAGCATATGTGATTTGATGATGTCGAAATGTTGAAGTAGAAATGGTGCTGGAATAGTGGAGGCAGCTCCTTTTTCTTTGCGACTTGCGGTAACTCTCCGTGGTTCTAAATCAATGGTTGTTTAGTACTCCGAAAATGTCGGCAACATTAACTTGCTTGACCATGCTGTAGGTCATGTAACTGTCTGTTACATGCTATATGCTTTGTGGACTTCACCGGACAGAGGTTGCTCTCCGGTTTTATGATTAAACAAAGGTGTAGTTGAATTTATTCTGCTCCTGTGTCTTCTTATTGTCTCGACCTTAGACCCATATGAACTAACAAGGTATAGAGCAAACAACGCAATTATCACAACACATAGGTTGTAATAAATAATAATACTTTTTTTCTGGCTTGGCTTCCCCAGTGATTTTAACCATGCACCGCTACTGATGGAGGACTGCTCCTACTGTGGAGTGCCAATATGGCCGACCGGTGGTTTCAAAGCCTCTCAATTGCCATAACATAGCATCAGAGCTTAAAATACCTTGTTCCACGGGAAATCCAGGTTGGCTTAGCATATGTATGTATGTTTTCAAACAGTGACTCAATGGTGGGCTATCTTTCAAAACATTGTTTTTTTCCCTCCCTCCTCGACAGACAGTTTGACCTACCAACCCATATGTTATGTGGCCGCTAGATGGCAGCCACTACGCCCTCGTGTGTGCGATCGCTGTTTATAAACAAATCCACAGCCAAGGTAGCAGCCGATTGACACACGCGCCAAACTCTGTCAGTAGTAACACAATAAATGTTTTGTCAAACGCTTGTCATCCCCATAAACTATTGCAACGCTTGATATTATTTTTTGCTCAAGCAAAACATGTATTTACGTTGTAACACACAGATCGTATCATTCCTATACATAAAACGTTTCACACGGAAATTATGAAGTATGGAAAATAAACATTGAAGGTGGATTGTGATTGCGCAGGAGAAACCGTTCCACGCGATATGGGTCTGTGTCTCGGTCCCAACTTGTTGAAATACTGCCTGTGACTGTCATGTAATTGAAGATTAAAATAACGCTCAACATGGAATAAAAAATATGTGAATTCCATATCTCGAAGTTGAACGTGGAAATGCATCACTGGGCTGCTGTCATGTGTTATCTTATCTGTTCCTCCCACACAACCACTAAAGTTCCCACATCAAACTCATGACAGCCAAGTGTGTAAAACAAGACACCACAACCGATTTCGCGAAAGCAGCAACCAACAATTAGATGCCACTTGAATATGACACCAACACACTTTCTACATTACAGGAAAACCCATCCGTGCCGCTGACTCCTACCACGTGAATAATTTATTTTCAAAATATTATGAAATAGCTAACTTACATTGATTGCCTCGAAAACTATCTTCTGAAACGACTAGAGTACGATTACAATGTAGCATGCTAGCTATAATAGCCTAATTTGACGTATCAAGTTATTTTGACAGCTAGCTAAGTCCACAGCCGAATAACCCTTTTAGGTTATAGATAGCACCTTTTTTAGTGTAGCTAGCTATATCTAACAACTCTACCTTGATAGCTAACGTTAAAAATTCAGCTGTACAGTACAGCTGTAGCCAAGTCCAGCAACATCACCAAAACATTTGCTAACTTTTAAGACTTACTTGATTTATCTGATGATTCGTGATGACTATAAATCTGTCTGTAGTTGAGGCACTGTCGATGGCTTGTTGACATCAGAATATGTGTCCAACAAGCTATTTGACTCGCGGCTTGTCCTTGCGTTGGATGTTGAAGAAAGTCCACTTGCAGTTTGTGACACGTTTCCCGCTACGATTCTCAAAACAGTCAGTCCATTCAAACCGTAAAGTCGTATTTTATTCCATGGAAACCGATGCTTATCCAACACGTTATCACGGAGCTATGGTCCAAATGTTGATTACAGGGGAGATTGTTTCATAGTGGTATTACTTTGCTTTCACTCCCGCGGTTGCCTGTTTCGCCACGCCCTCTCCTCCATGCATTACAACAAGTCCTGACATGCACCTCGACAAGAGAAATGCTGCTACTCTGTTTCAATACGGCGGACAAGCCCTTAAAGGTAGAAACAAAACACATTTTTGCCTAACCCTGCCCCCTTCCCGCCCCTTTTGCTTTCCTTTGAGTTCACCACATCTGTTGCAGCTGTTATGTTAACGGTAAACAAAGCCTGGTTGGATAGTAGCTGGTGCCTCGAGCCTAAGGGTGCAAAAATCTGTAATATATTTTAGCCTGTCCTATGCATACATTGGATGGTCAACAGCATATGAGTAAATCAGCAGCAGCAGCATCATTATCAATGCATGCATTTGTCAGACCATAAAAATCACGTTTGTCTCTTTGGTGTGTTGTGAAGTTGACATGGGGTATGAGGACAATTGACTGCATATGACAAGGGTTCAAAGTGCCTCTGCATTGCATGTTAAAACCCGTCATATATGACATCATTGGTTATAACCTCATTATAACCATGGGCTGTAGGTTACAGTAACACAGACATATACACTACCAGTCCAAAGTTTGGACACACCTACTCATTCAAGGGTTTTTCTTTATTTTTACTATTTTCTACATTGTAGAATAATAATGAAGACATCAAAACTATTAAATAACACATATAGAATCATGTAGTAACCAAAAAAGTGTTAAACAAATCAAATATATTTGCCTTGATGACAGCTTTGCACACTCTTGGCATTCTCTCAACCAGCTTCATGAGGTAGTCACCTGGAATGCATTTCAATTAACAGGTGTGCCTTGATAAAAGTTAATTTGTGAAATGTATGTCACGCCCTGGCTCTGGGGACACTTGTATGTTGAGCCAGGGTGTGAGTTTCATTTGTTTCTAGTAGTTGTATTTCTAGGTTGGCTAGAGTGGTTCCCAATCAGAGGCAACGAGTGTCAGCTGTTGCTGGTTGTCTCTGATTGGGAACCATATTTAGACAGGCTGTTTTCCCACAGTGGTAGTGGGATCTTGTGCCTTTTGGGTTGTACCGTAGGACTGCATGTATCGTTTGTTCTTTTGTTCGGGTAATCACAAATAAAGAGTATGTTTGCTTTCAACGCTGCGCCTTGGTCCTCCTCTCTTCCCGACGAACGTGACAATGTATTTCCTTCTTAATGCGTTTGAGCCAATCAGTTGTGTTGTGACAAGGTAGGGGGGTATACAGAAGATAGCCCTATTTGGTAAAATACCAAGTTCATATTATGGCAAGAACAGCTCAAATAAGCAAAGAGAAACGACAGTCCATCATTACTTTAAGACATGAAGGTCAGTCAATCCAGAACATTTCAAGAACTTTGAAAGTTTCTTCAAGTGCAGTCGCAAAAACCATCAAGCGCTATGATGAAACTGGCTCTCATGAGGACCGACACAGGAAAGGAAGACCCAGAGTTACCTCTGCTGCAGAGGATAAATTAATTAGAGTTAACTGCACCTCAGATTGCAGCCCAAATAAATGCTTCACAGAGTTCAAGTAACAGACACATCTTAACATCAACTTTTCAGAGGAGACTGTGTGAATCAGGTCTTCATGGTCGAATTGCTGCAAAGAAACCACTACTAAAGGACACCAATAATAAGAAGAGACTTGCTTGGGCCAAGAAACACGAGCAATGGACATTAGACCGGTGGAAATCTGTCCTTTGGTCTGAGTCCAAATGTGAGATTTTTGGTTCCAACCGCCGTGTCTTTGTGAGACACAGAGTAGGTGAACGGATGATCTCTGCATGTGTGGTTCCCACCGTGAAGCATGGAGGAGGAGGTGTGATGGTGTGGGGGTGCTTTGCTGGTGACACTGTCAGTGATTTATTTAGAATTCAAGTCACACTTAACCAGCATGGCTACCACAGCATTCTGCAGCGATATGCCATCCCATCTGGTTTGTGCTTAGTGGGACTATCATTTGTTTTTCAACAGGACAATGACCCAAAACACACCTCCAGGCTGCGTAAGGGCTATTTGACCAAGGAGAGTGATGGAGTGCTGCATCAGATGACCTGGCCTCCACAATCACCCGACCTCAACCCAATTGAGATGGTTTGGGATAAGTTGGACCACAGAGTGAAGGAAAAGCAGCCAACAAGTGCTCAGCATATGTGGGAACTCCTCAGCATATGTTGGAAAAGCATTCCTCATGAAGCTGGTTGAGAGAATGCCAAGGGTGTGCAAAGCTGTCATCAAGGCAAAGGGTGGCTACTTTGAAAAATCTCAACTATAAAATATATTTTCATTTGTTTAACACTTTCATGGTTACTACGTGATTCCATATATGTTATTTCATAGTTTTGATGTCTTCACTATTATTCTACAATGTAGAAAATAGTAAAAAAATAAGGAAAAACCATTGAATGAGTAGGTGTGTCCAAACTTTTGACTGGTACTGTACTTGAACAATTGTGGAGTAGGCCTATTGCACATTGGTTGAATGACACTCATAACCTGTCACATTGTTAGGGGTGGTCACCCATTGGCTCATTGCACCCCTTTTCTTTATCAATTGCATGCTAGTTATTCGAGATCAGATCTTTTTATGATCACACATAGGGGGAAAATATACTTGCAAAAAATCTGTTGCCTTTTTGTGTGGGAAAAAAACAACCTTTTACCCCAAAAATGTATACTTTTCCATTTCTCATTTGGATAATTGCAATGATGCAATTGAAAATGGTTTTTGTAACCCCTTACATTAAAGACACCAAATGCAAAATTATGACTAGGCCTATACAGCTAATGCTTTGATGTTTTAAATCAAATCCTTAAATGACCTCCCACGTAAACGAAAACATGCCCAAATTATAATATGGGATTAGGATATGTTTTGTCAAACACTGAAATCCAGTTATGACAAATCGCCTAATCCGGGTATATTCAACCTGCTTGTTGATACTGGGGTAGCGATATGAAATTGTAATCTTTCTGTAATTTTCAAATGACACCCCCAAGGTCTATGCATTTTTGCGTGGTTGTTTTGGGTTGTTTGCAAACATTTTGCGGATTTAGGATCTAGGGGTTTGTAGCCTAGGCTACATTGCAGGATCAATATCATAGCCTATGTCTCTATAGCCTATATATGCATTCATGTAACGCGTTTAATTATGATAATTGGCCAGCCATTGTAGCCTATACACGCAGTCAAAAGAACCACAAGCTGAGCATTGGAAATCCCCTTGTCTTGTCCTTTAACCTCAGATGTGAAACATGTGACTGTGCGACCATTGTCCCCAACACTCAGCTGCGGGGTGGTCACTTTGCGGATTTTGTTGCGGTGCCTAATCGGCTGGAAATGACAGATTGTTTTAAGACCCCCATAGCAGATTGGAAATGCCCCTCGCACAAAAAGGGGAATCCCCTCACAGGTACATGTCCGGGCGAACATCCCAAATTTTCTTGGCAGTTTGCACGACTCACGAGAGATACGACCAGAACAGAAGACAATAGATGTTATTCTCGACCAACTCTCCCCACCTTGCCATACAGCTCGTTAAATTAATTGAGACAGTATCTGTATGCATATCTAGGAATTAAATACAGACATATCTTAGGTCATCTCTAGTAATTAAACGTCTTTGGTGTGCTATTTAGATAAGAAACAGCCAAATGGCCTCGCATTTTAATTTCATGCTGAATTATTTATTAATTTTGCCACTCACTTGGTCAGTCATAATCATTAATGTATTCACACATGAGTGAATCCTGCTCTAGGGCTCTATTGCTCTGATACAGAACACAATGTGAAAATTTTCACTGTGATGCACAGGGAATGCTTTTCGGGAACTGAGACCTCATAATCAAATGTGACAACAAGCTGTCAACAATGTAATTGTAGGCCTATATAATGCTGCTGCTGTATGATGTGCTGTGCCACACTGACGACGCCGGTACTGGTGGATGACGAAGTCACGCCCTTGGTCATGTGATTGGTGTTCTATTCCAGGCTGCATCACGCGTTAGGCGAGGGCACGTAATTTGAGTGAGGCCATGCAACCCAAATGAGGGCATGATAGCGCCACAACCACATGCACTAATTTATCTGCCCTGTCTGTTTACCTGCATATACACACTCCTTAATAGGTCATTTACACCTCTGTGATAGTGACAAGCATGCAAATGAGATCATTTGCTTTGTACTGAGTTATCGCCATGTTGTTTTCCCCAGGCCCGCTCTGTTCTGTGCTTCATCATCAGGTCATCTTGACCCCCCTGTCTAGATGAGTTACATTTTATGTAAAATTGATGTCAAAAGTTGTCATTTTTTGCACTTGAACTAACCCTAATGCTAACCATTTTCCTAACCTTAAAACGAATTATCCTAACCTGCAACTTTAATTATCCTAACCTGCTGCATAAATTCTGCTATGAAAAGTAAATTCTGACATAAACTGTATACCATCTAGTCAAAACTCTGTAGGAGGGCCATAGGTAACAGGTGTCTTTATACGTCTTTGACTCTCTGAAAAGCGCTATATAAATCCCATATATTATTATTATTATTATAGGTGTTACAGGTGCTGAGAAGAGGTCCCTTTCTCCGGTGGGTGGGAGGGTGTTGGGGGGCAGCCTGCTTGAATGTCACAGAAACCTGATCAAGTCTGCCAGTCCTGTGAGGAGTGTGTGTGTGTGTTTGTGAGTATTTGTATCAGTCTGGTAGTAGTAACCAAAACAGAAGGCCCCAGCACGTCTCCCCACACATTGTAAGCCGAGCCAATGTTTGGGTTGCCACAATGACATCATCCATTATCCAACACCCCCCCCCACCCCATACACCCCCTCCTCTTTTTTTCAACTCAGATGGTAGACTGCAGAACCTTCCACCCTCCTCCCTCCCACCTCCATTTCACAAATTACTTTTCATTGCTGTTGCCTTAATTGGCTGCCAAACAGGCATAGTTGGGGCCGATGAGGTGGCACGGGGCAAACAGCTGCCTCCACACCCAAGGTAATGGCAGGGTGCTGAGAGACAGACCTGAGACTTGAGCAAACCATCAGCAGGTAGCACCCCTACCATGGGGTACTGAAGCAACCGTGGACTACACTATTGTGTAGGAGACAGCGCATGATGAACAGGCTTGCCTGTGAGTTCTGTCTACAGTCATTGGTCTCCATAGAGTGGAGGCTAAGACTATACATACTGTATATCTATAGCAGAGTCTGAAACTATACATGACAAATATATATAAACAATATATGGCTGTAGTTATTACTGTATATGACACAGATAACTATTTATCTTAGTGTTCCATAAATCGAACAACGTTATAACAAGGTAATAAGCAATAGGCTACTTATGTACCACAGTCACACTTTGATTCTTTATAGGTAATCTTTAGCACATAGTATCATTTGAAAATAAATATGTATACTACCGTTCAAAAGTTTGGGGTTACTTAGATATTTCCTTGTTTTCGAAAGAAAAGCAATTTTTTCCCCATTAAAATAACATCAAATTGACCAGAAATACAGTGTAGACATTGTTAATGTTGTAAATGGCTATTGTAGCTGGAAACAGCTTATTTTTAATGGAAGATCTACATAGGCGTACAGAGGCCCATTATCAGCAACCATCAGTCCTGTGTTCAAATGGCATGTTGTGTTTGCTAATCCAAGTTCATCATTTTAAAAGGCTAATTGATCATTAGAAAACCCTTTTGCAATTATGTTAGCACAGCTGAAACTGTTGTGCTGATTAAAGAAGCAATAAAACTGGCCTTCCTGAGAACGCCAGGGTAGTGGGTTTGATCCCCGGGACCACCCATACGTAAAAATGTATGCGCACATGACTGTAAGTCGCTTTGGATAAAAGCGTCTGCTAAATGGCATATTATATTTTTATATTATATTATTATATTATTATTATCTGGGAGCATCAGCAATTGTGGGTTCGATTACAGGCTCAAAATGGCCAGAAACAAATAACTTTCTTCTGAAACTCGTCAGTCTATTCTTGTTCTGAGAAATGAAGGACTATTCCTGGCCTTCTTGAGACTAGTTGAGTATCTGGAGCATCAGCAATTGTGGGTTCAATTACAGGCTCAAAATGGCCAGAAACAAATAACTTTCTTCTGAAACTCGTCAGTCTATTCTTGTTCTGAGAAATGAAGGCTATTGCGAGAAATTGCCAAGAAACTGAAGATCTCGTACAACGCTGTGTACTACTCCCTTCACAGAACAGCGCAAACTGGCTCTAACCAGAATAGAAAGAGGAGTGGGAGGCCCCGGTGCACAACTGAGCAAAAGGACAAATATATTAGAGTGTCTAGTTTGAGAAACAGGTGCCTCACAGGTCCTCAACTGGCAGCTTCATTAAATAGTACCCGCAAAACACCAGTCTCAACGTCAACAGTGAAGAGGCGACTCCGTGATGCTGACCTTCTAGGCAGAGTTGCAAGGAAAAAGCCATATCTCATCTTAATCTTTTCTTTTTATTGGCCAGTCTGAGATATGGCTTTTTCTTGCTGATAATGGGCCTCTGTACGCCTATGTAGATATTCCATAAAAAATCAGCCGTTTCCAGCTACAATAGCCATTTACAACATTAACAATGTCAACACTGTATTTCTGATCAATTTGATGTTATTTTAATGGGCAAAAAAAAAATGCTTTTCTTTCGAAAACAAGGACATTTCTAAGTGACCCCAAACTTTTGAACGGTAGTGTATATAAACTGGAAACTCCATGGAAGGTTTGTTCCACTCCGGAACACACCTTCCACGTCATTCATTATTTTCCATAGAACGCATAGCCCCTCGTTGATTATCCCTTACATATTGTGTGTACCAAATGTATAGCATATGTTTTGGTTTTACAGACAATCGACAGGACCAATGACATCCTCTCTCATCCCAAATGAATAGTATATATGGCAGTCTCTGCAGTAACTTCATCAAAATCTTATCTTATTGGATAAGGTTGAAGAAACCCTGGCTCCCTTGACAGCAAACCTCAAATTCAGTTAGGCCCTATCAGAAACAAAACAGCAAAATGAATTCTGAATTTCTGTGTGAATTCAGTATTGTTCATGATGATCAAATATGCAAGTATACACTACCAGTCAAAAGTTTGGACACACCTACTCATTCAAGGGTTTTTCTTTATTTTTACTATTTTTTACATTGTAGAATAATAGTGAAGACATCAAAACTATGAAATAACACATATGGAATCATGTAGTAACCAAAAAAGTGTTAAACAAATCAAAATATGTTTTATATTTGAGATTCTTCAAATAGCCACCCTTTGCCCTGATGACAGCTTTGCACACTCTTGGCAATCTCTCAACCAGCTTCACCTGGAATTATTTTCCAACAGTCTTGAAGGAGTTCCCACATATGCTGAGCACTTGTTGGCTGCTTTTCCTTCACTCTGCGGTCCGACTCATCCCAAACCATCTCAATTTGGTTGAGGTCAGGGGATTGTGGAGGCCAGGTCATCTGATGCAGCACTCCATCACTCTCCTTCTTGGTAAAATAGCCCTTACACAGCCTGGAGGTGTGTTGGGTCATTGTCCTGTTGAAAAACAAATGAAAGTCCCACTAAGCCCAAACAAGATGGGATGGCATATCGCTGCAGAATGCTGTGGTAGCCATGCTGGTTAAGTGTGCCTTGAATTCTAAATAAATCACAGACACCAGCAAAGCACTCGCACAACATAACACTTCCTTCTCCGTGCTTTACAGTGGCAAATACACATGCAGAGATCATCCGTTCACCCACACCGCGTCTCACAAAGACACGGCGGTTGGAACCAAAAATCTCCAATTTGGACTCCAGACCAAAGGATACATTTCCACCGGTCGAATGTCCATTGCTCGTGTTTCTTGGCCCAAGCAGGTCTCTTCTTATTATTGGTGTCCTTTAGTAGTGGTTTCTTTGCAGCAATTTGACCATGAAGGCCTGATTCACACAGTCTCCTCTGAACAGTTGATGTTGAGATGTGTCTGTGACTTGAACTCTGTGAAGCATTTATTTGGGCTGCAATTTCTGAGGCTGGTAACTCTAATGAACTTATCCTCTGCAGCAGAGGTAACTCTGGGTCTTCCATTCCTGTTGCGGTCCTCATGAGAGCCAGTTTCATCATAGCGCTTGATGTTTTTTGCGACTGCACTTTAAGAAACTTTAGAAGTTCTTGAAATGTTCCGTATTGACTGACCTTCATGTCTTAAAGTAATGATGGACTGTCGTTTCTCTTTGCTTATTTGAGCTATTCTTGCCAATAATATGGCCTTGGTCTTTTACCAAAAAGGGCTATCTTCTGTATACCCCCCTACCTTGTCACAACACAACTGATTGGCTCAAACACATTAAGAAGGAAATAAATTCCACAAATTAACGTTTAAGAAGACACACCTGTTAATTGAAATTCATTCCAGGTGACTAGCTCATGAAGCTGGTTGGGAGAATGCCAAGAGTGTGCAAAGCTGTCATCAAGGCAAAGGGTGGCTATTTGAAGAATCTCAAATATAAAATATATTTTGATTTGTTTAACACTTCTTTGGTTACTATATGATTCCATATGTGTTATTTCATAGTTTTGATGTCTTCACTATTATTCTACAATGTAAAAAATAGTAAAAAATAAAGAAAAACCCTTGAATGAGTAGGTGTGTCCAAACTTTTGACCGGTAGTGTATAGATATACATATTTTCTCTCTTTAAAATGTGATATACCATGGCAAAATTACCAGGTGCTCTTCTAGTGTTGCACCCCTCCTCTATACTGTATCTCTGAATCCATCTCATGCATGTCACAAAAAGCAGTGACTGTGACTTTTTTTATAACTGTTCGTGTAGGCATAAATGACTTTATGTTGAGGTCAAAGGGCCTGTTGCATTGTAGGATAATTCATGAAATATGTGATAAAGAGGTGTGATGCTTCAGGAACAACCATTACCTCATCATCATCACCCAGGGCTGGCTGGACAGATGGCTCATAGCTGAGGGGGGTCAGCTGTTCCCATCGTACCCTCATCTGACTCCTTTAGTCCTACAATGCCTTGTTATCATAAGGCTGTGGAACACAATGTGAAGGAATGTGCATCTTCAGCAATCCACATGAGATTCACACACTGCTTTCCCATGCACCAGCGAGGCTGAAACCCAGGATTAGCAACAGAAACAAAATTCAAATGTCATCTTGGATACTCATCATCAGCAGCCCAGCCCAGCAATGCAAACCACTGCACTTTTTCCTCCATCCGTAGACTCATGGGTTCCCATATGGGCTCTCAGGGGTCCGTTGTTTGCCTGTCACAACAATTAGGTCATCACCAGGTCTCTGTTGGGTTGCTCTGTTTACAGATCTCAGAGAGGTGGTAGCCATTGCACAGCATTAGGACACCCTTTCGCTCAGTGACAGGTCCAGGGTCTTGGACCGTGGGTGGACAAACAATAGTATGGTCTGTAGCAGAATTGGACCACACGTCATTTTCTGGTCAACAGATCGGTCAATACAAACCTGTAACTGATTCCTCTCCTCCTCACTCTCTTGAAGTGTTGATGCAGTGATACCAGGATCAAGTTGCATGGTGGCCTTATAAAATGATTGATACACAAATCTTGCATGCAGTGTTTGTTTTGCTTAACAATGGGATTGTGTGTATATGTGCCACCAAGGGCTCACAAAACTCTAATTCTCATAGTAGATTAAATGATCAACTCACTTTTTTTTAGCACTGACTTTGCTGATAGTTACTTTATTGAGGAAAAATGTACTTACTATGACTGAGATACAGTGGGGAGAACAAGTATTTGATACACTGCCGATTTTGCAGGTTTTCCTACTTACAAAGCATGTAGAGGTCTGTAATTTTTATCATAGGTACACTTCAACTGTGAGAGACGGAATCTAAAACAAAAATCCAGAAAATCACATTGTATGATTTTGAAGTAATTAATTTGCATTTTATTGCATGACATAAGTATTTGATACATCAGAAAAGCAGAACTTAATATTTGGTACAGAAACCTTTGTTTGCAATTACAGAGATCATACATTTCCTGTAGGTCTTGACCAGGTTTGCACACACTGCAGCAGGGATTTTGGCCCACTCCTCCATCCAGACCTTCTCCAGATCCTTCAGGTTTCGGGGCTGTCGCTGGGCAATACAGACTTTCAGCTCCTTCCAAAGATTTTCTATTGGGTTCAGGTCTGGAGACTGGCTAGGCCACTCCAGGACCTTGAGATGCTTCTTACGGAGCCACTCCTTAGTTGCCCTGGCTGTGTGTTTCGGGTCGTTGTCATGCTGGAAGACCCAGCCACGACCCATCTTCAATGCTCTTACTGAGGGAAGGAGGTTGTTGGCCAAGATCTCGCGATACATGGCCCCATCCATCCTCCCCTCAATACGGTGCAGTCGTCCTGTCCCCTTTGCAGAAAAGCATCCCCAAAGAATGATGTTTCCACCTCCATGCTTCACGGTTGGGATGGTGTTCTTGGGGTTGTACTCATCCTTCTTCTTCCTCCAAACACGGCGAGTGGAGTTTAGACCAAAAAGCTATATTTTTGTCTCATCAGACCACATGACCTTCTCCCATTCCTCCTCTGGATCATCCAGATGGTCATTGGCAAACTTCAGATGGGCCTGGACATGCGCTGGCTTGAGCAGGGGCACCTTGCGTGCGCTGCAGGATTTTAATCCATGACGGCGTAGTGTGATACTAATGGTTTTCTTTGAGACTGTGGTCTCAGCTCTCTTCAGGTCATTGACCAGGTCCTGCCGTGTAGTTCTGGGCTGATCCCTCACCTTCCTCATGATCATTGATGCCCCACGAGGTGAGATATTGCATGGAGCCCCAGACCGAGGGTGATTGACCATCATCTTGAACTTCTTCCATTTTCTAATAATTGCGCCAACAGTTGTTGCCTTCTCACCAAGCTGCTTGCCTATTGTCCTGTAGCCCATCCCAGCCTTGTGCAGGTCTACAATTGTATCCCTGATGTCCTTACACAGCTCTCTGGTCTTGGCCATTGTGGAGAGGTTGGAGTCTATTTGATTGAGTGTGTGGACAGGTGTCTTTTATACAGGTAACGAGTTCAAACAGGTGCAGTTAATACAGGTAATGAGTGGAGAACAGGAGAGCTTCTTAAAGAAAAACGAATAGGTCTGTGAGAGCCGGAGTTCTTACTGGTTGGTAGGTGATCAAATACTTATGTCATGCAATAAAATGCAAATTAATTACTTAAAAATCATACAATGTGATTTTCTGGATTTTTGTTTTAGATTCCGTCTCTCACAGTTGAAGTGTACCTATGATAAAAATGACAGACCTCTACATGCTTTGTAAGTAGGAAAACCTACAAAATCGGCAGTGTATCAAATACTTGTTCTCCCCACTGTATGTGGTTGTCCCACCTAGCTGTTTTAAGATGAATGCACTAACTGTAAGTCGCTCTGGATAAGAGCGTCTGCTAAATGACTAAAATGTAAATGTAATTTAGGCCTACATCCTGGTGTTCAGTACATCAGTAAATGAGCCATGGAGGGTAATTATTTAGGGTTTTAACTCATTGGTTTCTTTGTAGGCTACACTTTCTTGACAATTCCTTGTAGGCTACACTTTCTTGACACACAACTTTCTAACCTGTTGCACCTGAATCATTATTTCTGCCATAGAAAAGACCAGAGGCGTCATTCCCATAGGGGGCACGGGGGTACGTGCCCCCTCAGATTTGTCCTGTAATACTACTAGCCACATAGCAATTTTATGAAGTTGTCTTTAGCTAGCCCAGATAGGATCCCAATGTCCCACCCTCATAACTAGCTACCAAGAAGCCATTTCAGACTATCAATCAAGTTAGAGTAGCTAGCTTGTCTAACTAGCTTAGCTGGCATGCCTGCTGGCAAGGTTAGTAGACTTTAGAAAAGCAAGCAATAACTAAATGTACTGAATAAGACTCACATTCCTTTCAATCTTTTACACAGATTTTAGCAGAGATGCAGAGAAGCATATTTTGTTTCTTAAAAAAAAAAAAGAACCCTTTGAAGAACCTTTTGGGTTCCATGTAGAACCCTTTCTACAGAGGGTTCTACATGGAGCCCAAAATGGTTCTACCTGGAACCGAATCAAAAAGGGTTCTCCTATGGGGACAGCCGAAGAACCCTTTTGGAACCATTTTTTCTAAGAGTGTAGATTGCAGGAAAAAGCTTTTTCAGGTGTTTGAAAAATGCAATTGTCTCCAATTTATGGACTGGGCATAGCACTCCTCCGGATCAGCCCCCAGCCATCTTCATGTACTTGTGCCCCCTCAGATTTTGTTTCAGGTGTTTGAAAAATACAATAGTCTCCAATTTATGGGCATAGCACCTTTCCAGACCAGCCATCCTGACATACTTTGTGCCCCCTCATATTTTGGGGTTGCATGACACCCCTGGAAAAGACCTCATAAAGAATCTGCTGAATGCACCACATAATGATTGATTATCTCGAATTATGCGTCCCCACATCAGAGAGTGCGTGCGATAGAGAGATACCATATCTCACCACGGATTGTTTTCCTTTGATAAAACTCTTCTGCCCCGAAACAGCGTATCGGCAGCAGTGGCAGGTCATGAGCGATTGGTTGGAACTGCGCGCGGCAGCCCCGGAATCCCTTGCCTTGGAAGCCTTGAGAGGATGTCAGTAACTCAATTAAGTGCTTGTGTCACTCGGTTTTAACATCAACCGACATCAAGGTTTTCCATTTGTCTGGCCGCCTATTCAGGGGATAGTGACACATGCACCTATTTTTAAACTGTATAAGGACCAATTGTTTTAATTGTCCAAATTGTTTTAATTGTCCAAATTGTTTCAATTGTTATAGACCTACACATTCTTGTTATTTTAAAATGTTATATTCCCATTTCACCACAATTACACATTTTGTTTCCATAATTAATATTTGGCAACATGTGGCCAGAAGATGATCATGCAGATCTCATATGTTCATGTGAAGGGGGTGTTATATTGCTCTGTCCCTGACCCAGTTAAGTAGCTTAATTATAAGACCACTGACTCTAATAACCGAACCCTTATAATAACCATAATAACTGGTAGATGTAGACCACCAGACTACTAGACAACGTAGGATTCTTAATGTATTTTTTATTTCGTAGACATTGTCGCCCCCTTGTGGATTTGGCAGATGTAGGCAAACTATCTGTATTTTCACTAATGTAAATCATTATCAAACATAAACTGCTATCCGTTCATTTATTTCCAAGATATATAGGCTATTTATCCGTTAACATAGCCTACATTTCAGGTCTTTAGATAAGTTATTTTCATGATTGTGAAAGCAGATTTGAAATAGCATGATATGCGTACTGTCTCTTTAAAAACTGGTTCCAAATTTGGCAGGAAGTTGAATTTGTATTACAGGAAATGAATATGAGGACACATTGTCGTGGAGCTGGATTTGATACATTGTATTGAGCACACTGTCTGTAACCACAACTCGCTTTGATAAAGGTAATCTAGTTCGACTGTATTGTGATACTTTGTATCTTTACGCCAACCTCGTTGTAAACAATGTTGCATATTTTTTCTGCAGTTAAGTTACTTCCAACTGACTGATAGCGTAGACATGGCCCGGTGTGGTGTGCTTACCTCACAAGTGTCTAAAGAAAACTACTAAAACCAATGTTACTTACTTGTTTAATTTGTAAAGGTAGGCTAATGTGTAAGGTATTTGCTATAACATGTCATTTGCGTGTCATCTTAAACTCATTTCTAGGTTATGTGCACTCACTAAAAGCTTAAGAAGGCTTTCTCACAGAACGCAGCTGGACTCATGAAGGATTTATGAATTCACGTAGGCTACAACACCTTCGCCTGATGTAATTATTGGCTACCCATAGTCTTTAAGTAGCCAATTCCATTCTGGTACTCCGTTCATGCTGTAAATACGGCTGTTTTACATTTGCATCCCCCTTCTATGCACCGCAGTGGTTATTGTGTAAACAACCCTCCAAGCTGCATTTCTCACAGTCCTTTTTTAAACCCACATCAGCTGGAAGAGTCAGGATTCCAGCCCACCACCTGCGCATAAGGACGGGCTAGAGGCCATGGTGAGCTTCTGAAATGCAATTATATATTATGTGTTGTAATTTTGCAGATTGACTGTAGTTTAGGCTGATATATTGTTTCAGTCTTAATTTAGACATTGCCAAAATCATACATACTAGCTTCTCTGAGAATGCAAACCAAACCATAATGGGAATCAAATGTGCTGATACTAGTATCACAGTTGGTTAACTATGACATGCAATACTAAAGCAATTGTACACGAGAGGGCGTGCTAAACAACTTTTTTAGCATGGCTGTGCTGCGTTCATAGGTTCGAGGCGGAGCCGAGTACCGTAGATCAGCACAAATCACAATGCTTGTTTTGACCAACCCGTTGTAGAATCTTATTCAAAATTTATGTATACCTTCAATTTCTCAGTCTACAGTGGTGGATCTCAAGACAAAGGAGGAGAAGGATGCAGAGCTTGACAGACGGATCGAGGCTCTGCGCAAGAAGAATGAAGCTCTGGTCCGGAGGTACCAGGTGAGCTCCCACAGGATCAGATTTATAGTCCTGTTGTAGCAGCAGCATCATATGTGTGGCTCAGTTGGTAGAGCATGGCACTTGCAATGTCAGGATTGTGGGTTCGATTCCCAATGAGGCCACCCATACGAAAATGTATGCACGCACTATAAGTTTGCTTCGGATAAAAGTGTCTGCTAGATAGTATACCCTATTGTATTATATTATTATTATTTAATCTTTATATTCACTTAAAGGGGTGCCTTTTTTTTCTCTGTAAATAGTTTAAATTAAAAGAAATGTATAGATATGAATATATCCTCAAGTGCATTGCCTGTAAATGTTTTTTGCACTGGGTTACTAGTTATTGGAGGTGTGTGTGTACATGTCTTTGATTCAAGAAGAGGTTGTGAAGGATAAACAAACCCCACTGAGTTCTCCTGAGAGTACTTGCCACCTGTCTCAGTTTCATCCTCGGAGCAATTCAGAAATCCCCATGTTTATGGATGCCATCTGTTTAGCTATAGTTTGTCTGAAACATTGTCCCTGCATTAAGAAGTAGTGGATCTGGTTGTATTGCTCACTGCCAGTTTCCTCACAAAGAAAGTCTGAGATTGTTGGTCTCTAATGGGTTAGGAACAAGCCTAGCGGTTAAGAGCGTTGGGCCAGTAACCAAAAGGTCGCTGGTTCGAATCCTCGAGCCGACTAGGTGAAAAACTCTGTGCCCTTGTGCAAGGCACTTAATCCTAATTACTCCTGTAAGTCGCTCTGGATAAGAGCGTCTGCTAAATGACTAAAATGTAAATGTAAAATTATTAGCTTATGTCAAACAGCTAAATCGCATAGCCACGTTGCAAAATAGCTTTCTGACTGTCCGGGTATTCAAATCATGGTCATCGGTCACTTTTCTGTTGAATCTCCCAGAATTCATGCTTGATTTATCAGGTTAGTGAGACACTGATGAGCCTTTGTCAGCCTATCATCAGCCAACATTTGTTTTGTTATCTTTCTACAGGAAATAGAAGAGGACAAAAAGAAGGCGGAACAGGAGGGGATTGCCGTGAAGACGCACCCACCCAGGAAGAGCCGCCCTCACGATGGCCCGCCAGAGGGAGACAGACGGAGGACAGAGAAAGAGAACTTCACTGTCACCGTAGACCTCTCCAAACCTGCAGGGGTGAGACCAGGATGAGGGCTCTGTCTCAGCACATACTGTAGTACCAGGCTATATCAGACCAAGCTAACTATGAGATATGGACTAGTTACTATCTGAACCCAATAAGAACACACATTTTCCATTTGAAAACAATTTATTCCGTTTGTGCCAACTGAACAAACATGATTTAAGAAGACCCAAAAACTAGACAATGTGCACTCTCAAACACTTGGCTTGGAGATAACCCCCTGAGCTCTGAAAGATGGCCTTTACCAGAACAAGTCTCATAGACTTTGACAGGCACCCATCTATTTGCCCGCTCACATCCAAATGACCTGTCAGTCAAACCATTCATATTCCCCTGCTGTGGCAGCTGGATGAGATTAGGGATGCCTAATGGAGGACGTCGAAATGAGGTGGACCTGAGAGGGCCATATATCTTACAGCAGCTGGGTGAAATTATGCTAGCTGAGTCTGGTACACCTCACACAGAACAGGAAAGTGATGACGTACACCATGAACAGAGAGATGTTTTGGTTCCAACTTTATACCCCTGCTTCAGCTTGATGATAATACATCTCCTGTATATTCAGATGGGTAAAAGTTGTATAATTCCATTCTACATAGATAGAGGTGAATGCAAATCCCTGGCTATGGCTGCGTCCCAAATGGCACCCTATTCACTACTTTTGACCAGAGCCTATGGGGGAATAGGGTTACATTTGGGTAGCGCCCTGTATTTCCACCTGAAGGGGATGCTCTCATGCCATTGCTGCTCTTGAAGGTAGTTACAGTACGTGCCACTTCCTTTCAGACAGTGTGTTTTTTTAAACAGCCTCCTGTGGAGAGACAGGCTGGAGTGCATTTTAATCAAAGCCTGTTGAGATCTTTTCGGTTCTCAAATGGCCCCTACAGCTGTGATCCACCCCACGCTTCACACTGTAAAGGTCACTCATTCAGACAAGAAGGGACTTGTTGAGGGTGCTGTGGTATTGCCCTAAATGTACTGGTCTGATAGGGTTATTATATGGATACGTTTTAGAGTTAAAAGCTCAGACACCTAAGTCTTCTGACACCTTGTATTATATCTGTGACGTTGGTTTTCAGAGACATCTCTGTTGTGTGCATGTGTCTGGGAATTTGGAGTGACAGCATAGCACTGTACAGTGAGGGAATTAAGTATTTGATCCCCTGCTGATTTTGTACGTTTGCCCACTGACAAAGACATGATCAGTCTATATAATTTTAATGGTAGGTTTATTTGAACAGTGAGAGACAGAATAACAACAAAATCCAGAAAAACGCATGTCAAAAATGTTATAAATTGATTTGCATTTTAATGAGGGAAATAAGTATTTGACCCCTCTGCAAAACATGACTTAGTACTTGGTGGCAAAACCCTTGTTGGCAATCAGAGGTCAGACATTTCTTGTAGTTGGCCACCAGGTTTGCACACATCTCAGGAGGGATTTTGTCCCACTCCTCTTTGCAGATCTTCTCCAAGTCATTTCCTCCACAGATGTTCTATGGGATTAAGGTCTGGAGACTGGCTAGGCCACTCCAGGACCTTAATGTGCTTCTTCTTGAGCACCTCCTTTGTTGCCTTGGCCGTGTGTTTTGGGTCATTGTCATGCTGGAATACCCATCCACGACCCATTTTCAATGCCCTGGCTGAGGGAAGGAGGTTCTCACCCAAGATTTGACGGGACATGGCCCCGTCCATCGTCCCTTTAATGCGGTGAAGTTGTCCTGTCCCCTTAGCAGAAAAACACCCCAAAGCATATTGTTTCCACCTCCATGTTTGACAGTGGGGATGGTATTCTTGGGGTCATAGGCAGCATTCCTCCTCCTCTAAACACGGCGAGTTGAGTTGATGCCAAAGAGCTCGACACTTTCACCCAGTTCTCCTCTGAATCATTCAGATGTTCATTGGCAAACTTCAGAAGGGCCTGTATATGTGCTTTCTTGAGCAGGGGGACCTTGTGGGCGCTGCAGGATTTCAGTCCTTCACGGCGTAGTGTGTTACCAATTGTTTCCTTGGTGACTATGGTCCCAGCTGCCTTGAGATCATTGACAAGATCCTCCCGTGTAGTTCTGGGCTGATTCCTCACCGTTCTCATGATCAGTGCAACTCCACGAGGTGAGATCTTGCATGGAGCCCCAGGCCGAGGGAGATTGACAGTTCTTTTGTGTTTCTTCCATTTGCGAATAATCGCACCAACTGTTGTCACCTTCTCACCAAGCTGCTTGGCGATGGTCTTGTAGCCCATTCCAGCCTTGTGTAGGTCTACAATCTTGTCCCTGACATCCTTGGAGAGCTCTTTGGTCTTGGCCATGGTGGAGAGTTTGGAATCTGATTGATTGCTTCTGTGGACAGGTGTCTTTTATACAGGTAACAAGCTGAGATTCGGAGCACTCCCTTTAAGAGTGTGCTCCTAATCTCAGCTCGTTACCTGTATAAAAGACACCTGGGAGCCAGAAATCTTTCTGATTGAGAGGGGGTCAAATACTTATTTCCCTCATTAAAATGCAAATCAATTTATAACATTTTTGACATGTGTTTTTCTGGATTTTTTTGTTGTTATTCTGTCTCTCACTGTTCAAATAAACCTACCATTAAAATTATAGACTGATCATTTCTTTGTCAGTGGGCAAACGTACAAAATCAGCAGGGGATCAAATACTTTTTTCCCCACACTGTATGTATGCCAGGGATTTTCCGGTATTTTAGTGGGTCAAAGCGGGTCTAATCAAAACGTATGTTCTCCCTGCAGGAGAAACGGGTGATCAATGACTGGAAACAAGGGCCACCCCGAGGAAGGAGGGACTCTGAGGAGGGAGACAGCCCCAGACCCCAAGGTGAAAGCCCCCCGCGGCGGTCCGGGCGGCTCAGCAGGGGTGGACAGAGAGGGGGAGGACAACGGCAGGAGAGGAGAGAGCAACGCCCTGACAGACCCCTAGCAGACCCACGCCAGGCCCATGACAGACCACCACGAGAGGAGAGACCACCACGAGAGGAGAGGGGTCCAAGAGAGGAGAGGGGTCCAAGAGAGGAGAGGGGTCCAGGCATGGAGGGGCCAGGAGAGGGCCCCGGCCGCAGTGAACGTGCCCCACGCGGAGGAAGGAGAGGAAGAGGAGGACGAGGAGGACGAGAAAGAGAAGAAGGAGGAGGACCACAGGGTGGTGACAGGAAGTCTAAGGTCTGTGAGCAAAACCATATCAGCTAATAACTAGTGAGGCAATGTTGCTGCAGATGTGCCAGGTTGTATAGTTTCAATAGGCTCACAGGTTTACCAGTGGTATAGTCTCCGTAATGATGGTTAGACCTTTAGGTTGTACAGTATATCTTAATGATGATGTTGGTTACTTTGCAATGACATGAGTAATGGGAAGATGAGTCGTGGTCAAAATATTTGAGAATGCCACAAATACAGATTTTCACAAAGTCTGCTGCCTCAGTTTTGATGATGGCAATTTGCATATACTCCAGAATGTCATGAAGAGTGATCAGATGAATTGCAATTAATTGCAAAGTCCCTCTTTGCCATGAAAATGAACTTAATCCCAAAAAAACATTTCCACTGCATTTCAGCCCTGCCACAAAAGGACTAGCTGCCATCTTGTCAGAGGACAAGGCTGGAGATCACTCTGTCATGCTGATTGAGTTAGAATAACAGACTGGAAGCTTTAAAAGGAGGGTGGTGCTTGAAATCATTGTTCTTCCTCTGTTAACCATGGTTACCTGCAAGGAAACACGTGCCGTCATCATTGCTTTGCACAAAAAGGGCTTCACAGGCAAGGATATTGCTGCTAGTAAGATTGCACCTAAATCAACCATTTATCGGATCATCAAGAACTTCAAGGAGAGAGGTTCAATTGTTGTAAAGAAGGATTCAGGGCGCCCAAGAAAGTCCAGCAAGCGCCAGGACCGTCTCCTTAAGTTGATTCAGCTGCGGGATCGGGGCACCACCAGTGCAGAGCTTGCTCAGGAATGGCAGCAGGCAGGTGTGAGTGCATCTGCACGCACAGTGAGGCGAAGACTTTTGGAGGATGGCCTGGTGTCAAGAAGGGCAGCAAAGAAGCCACTTCTCTCCAGGAATAACATCAGGGACAGACTGATATTCTGCAAAAGGTACAGGGATTGGACTGCTGAGGACTGGGGTAAAGTCATTTTGATGAATCCCCTTTCCGATTGTTTAGGGCATCCGGAAAACACCTTGTCCGGAGAAGACAAGGTGAGCGCTACCATCAGTCCTGTGTCATGCCAACAGTAAAGCATCCTGAGACCATTCATGTGTGGGGTTGCTTCTCAGCCAAGGGAGTGGGCTCACTCACAATTTGCCTAAGAACACAGCCATAAATAAAGAATGGTACCAACACATCCTCCGAGAGCAACTTCTCCCAATCATCCAAGAACAGTTTGGTGACGACCCATGCCTTTTCCAGCATGATGGAGCACCTTGACATAAGGCAAAAGTGATAACTAAGTGGCTCGGGGAACAAAACATCGACATTTTGGGTTCATGGCCAGGAAACTCCCCAGACCTTAATCCCATTGAGAACTTGTGGTCGATCCTCAAGAGGCGGGTGGACAAACAAAAACCCACAAATTCTGACAAACTCCAAGCATTGATTATGTAAGAATGGGCTGCCATCAGTCAGGATGTGGCCCAGAAGTTAATTGACCGCATGCCAGGGCGGATTGCAGAGGTCTTGAAAAAGAAGGGTCAACACTGCAAATATTGACTCTTTGCATAAACTTAATGTAATTGTCAATAAAAGCCTTTGACACTTATGGAATGCTTGTAATTATACTTCAGTATACCATAGTAACATCTGACAAAAATATCTCATAACACTGAAGCAGTGAACTTTGAGAAGACCAATACTTGTGTCATTCTCAACTTTTGACCACGACTGTACATACTATAGTAATTGGAGAAAAAGACTGAACAAGATTTAGAAAGAACATATGGGTGTGAAATTTAGCGAATTGGAATGGCCTACTCTATTTTCTATGTTCTTTCTAAAATGTTGTGCCTCTGTTGTGCCTCTCTGTAGGAGTGGGAGGAGAAAAGGAGGCAGAACATTGAGAAGATGAACGAGGAGATGGAGAAGATTGCAGAGTATGAAAGAGGACAAATGGTATGTACAGGAAGCCATTTTGTGAAAATCGGATTACAATCAGATTATTTGATGACAGTTTAGCATTGAAGACCTGACATAAAAAAATAAAAAATGGAATAATTTTTTTTTATTGTAAAGTGGTTAACCCACTGGCTATAGGGTGAATGCACCAATTTGTAAGTCGCTCTGGATAAGAGCGTCTGCTAAATGACGTAAATGTAAAATGTACATAGATAGTGTAAGGAAGCTGTCTTTGGAATCCCTCTGCAGCCTGCCGAGGGAGACAAGCCCATCCGTAACTTCCTGGATGACCCGCGGCGCTCCGGCCCAGTCCCGGACATGGACCGCAAAGAGGGCAGCCGCCGACACGTCCGAAACTGGGGCGGAGTAGACTTTGACAACGTGAAGACGGGATCTGAGCTGGAGAAGGAGTGGACAGTGAGTGCTCTGTTCTGTTTTGTAAACGACATGATCGGTCAAATGTTCTGTGTGGTTTGTCTTCTCCTTTTTGTTGACACGTTTCCTTTATTGAAAATTAGAACAAAGTTCGATCTATCTGTTTTATAATGTCTTTCCTTTCTCTCCTCTGTATCATGCTATTAAATCCCTTCTCTCTTACATCCTGCTATCAATCCTGCTACTTTACATTCCTTTTTCCACCCCCCCCCTCTCTCTCTCTCTCTCTCTCTCCAACAGAGTCGGAGACCAGGAGGCCCTAAGGGCTCCATGGATATGACCATGTCTATGACGGGCCGGGAGCGTGCCGAGTACCTCCGCTGGAAGAAGGAGCGTGAGGAGATTGACGAGGAGCGTCTGGCCAGGCACAGGAACGCCACGGGCCAGTGGAGACGGGAATGGGACGCCCAGAAGACTGACGGCTTGTGAGTGACTGACTGGAGGAGGACCGCTAACACCACTGACACACTGGGATCACATCTCGCTCACAAATACCCTTGGAGACAGCCAGGGTTTTATTAACAAAAACACCACAACAGCAGGCATTCAGTGCACCAAACCAGGCAGTGCACACTGAAGCCCAAGATGACAACACCGCTCCAAAATATCAAATGATTACCGGCTGCCACACTTTATGTTTTAGATGTTGTGTTCCATTTACTGTACATCCTGAGATGCAGCCCAGAAAGGGAGAACCACAGGAACAAGATGCGTGGATTAGAACATATCTAAATGATAGTGGATAAAAATGTATCACATTCAGCATTCAACACATGCTCTTTCTTTAGCCATAAGAGCATGAAGGCCATGTGAGTTTAGGAGGCCCATACAGGTACATGTTGGGGAGGCTGGTCAGAGGCTTGGCGTTGGGCAGGGTTTGTGTTTGAGTTTGAGTTTATTTTTATTTTTACAGGGACAGTGCACATTAATCAACTTTTCGGTAAAAGTGGCAGTTTTAGCCAGCCGGCTAATTTTCAACCGCAGTTCCTGGGCAGGTTATTAAAAACAATTACAATAATACAGACAAACAGTGAGCAGTGAGCACATGCAGAGCAACATAGGACAAGCAACATGTGACAGACGGTAATAGCACAAAAAGCAACAAAACAAAATACATAACAGCAACAGTGTTTCCACACCTCACAAGCTACAAACAGATAACATAGAAAGCGGTAATACACAGCTAGGGATTATGTTCACAAGTCTGATTGTCCTTTAGCCATGTCTTTGTTTCTTGTGACGGTGCGATAGGTGTGGGGGTGGTGGCAGGGAGGGATTGACAGGTCCAGTGGTAATGCGATGTGAAGGTGAGGAGGTCTGACCCTGCGGTGCTTTCACAGGTTTAAGGAGGACCCAGCTGTGGCTGCAGAGGGCATGCTGCCAGACCAGGGAGGCAGCAGGAGAGGCAAGTCACACCCAAACTCCCACCCCCCCCCAGACTCTGATGACAAGGCGTTGTTTGTTACCAGTGTTACACAATCACTGACGGACAAGGACGGCAGACTTTACTCAACCCTTTCTCCCTCTCTATCCCAAACAAACACATTCACCCATTCACAGATAAGTGCATACACACAAACAACACTTCAAACCTTTCCATTAGACGCAGCACACTCTCATTGATGCTTTGTCAGAGCAACACTCAAATTTTTCCAAGCCCCGTTAACATAGTGTATTATCTGTGTATACGGTAGATAGTGTTGTTGTGGTGACCCTGTGTGTAGTGACGTGAGTGACGTCACTCTGTGTGTCCTCCCTTCAGCCAGGGGGCGTGGTTCCCGCACACAGCCTCACGGCGGGGCCTCAGGTTAGCCAATGGCATGGGACTGAGTTGGTGTGCGTTACGTGTGGCTCACCCCCCCAGCATTCTGCTGTGTGTTAAGTTGTGTCCCAAATGGCATCCCATTCCCAATAACGCACTACTTTTGACCTGGACCCCAAGTACTGCACTAAATAGGTAATAGGGGTGCCATTTGGAACTGAACCCTATTCTAGACGTCAGGTCTGACTTCCACAGACAATCTTGGAATGCTGTCACTGGGGTTGCTCAAGCACAACCTAGACTGGAACTACTAGTATGTTTGTTGTCAGAATATATGCCTTGCCCCTCAGATGCTCAACCGAGGATGAAATTAGCTTCCCTCATTGAATGCACTTGCTTTGGCTGTGTGTCTGTGTGTGTTCGTCTAAGCTGCTATGTGTTGCAGTCTTTCTCCATCCCTTCCTCAAAACCCAGCGGCACTTTACAAGCTATCCAACAAAGTGATGAATAGACAAATGTGTGTCCCATAATGGCACCCTATTCCCTAAATAGTGCACTACTTTTGACTAAAGCCCTATGGGTCCTGGTCAAAGTAGTTCACTATAAAGGGAATATGATGCCATTTCAGAGCGGCACTGCTGTGTCAGTACTGGGGCTGTCATTCATTTATTTTCAAGGTCTTGAAACCTGTTCTTCCACGCCAACCCCTCTAATCTGAACTCTCTTCCTCCCTCGTCCTTCACTTCCACAGACGAGGTGAAGGGGCCTCCCAAGGCGCCCACGTTCGGAGACTTCCTGGGGCAGGGTAGAGGACCCAGGGAGGGGGGCAGTGGAGAGCGGGGGAGGGGACGAGGACAGAGACACAACTACAGGTACAGCCCCTCTTCTAACGCTTTGACTAGATCTGTTGTTTTCGTTCCTCACCATTCCAATGACTGGATCTCTTTGACAGCATGCACGATAACCGCTGGGAGGAGGAGGAGAAGGAGGAGGAGGAGGAGGAGAAACACAAGAAGGAGGAGAAGACTCAGAAGGAGGATCGGAAGACCAAAGCTCCCTCATCACAAAAGGTATGTCGTCTCCTACCACCATAAACTGGGATCTGTGTTTTAACACATGTATGCCAGTGTTGTTTTTTTAACATGATCTCTTTCCATGATCCACATTAAGAGGTGACTTGTCTGCTTCTTTTCCTCTTAGATGGAGGAGAAGAGTGGTGACGCAGAGGAAGATGAGGATGAGTGGGAGGATGCCAGCGATGGAGAGGACGAAGATACGGACGGGGAGGACGACTCTGAGGGAGACGACTCGGAGGAGAAAGACGGACAGTCCCCGAAGAAGGCACCTCGCCCAGAAACCACAGCAGGGAAGTCCGCTGCCACCTCACCCCCTCCCTCCACTCCCCCCTCCGCAGCCAGTCCCAAAGAGCAGCGCACCCCGAGGCCCAAAGTCTACATCCCCTCCCCACAGGAGGCTCAGGACTCCCCCGATGGCCCCAAGCCCCTCAGCCCTTTCTCTCCCCTGGACGGCCACCAGGCGGTCACAGACTGGGGGGAGGAGATGGAGATGCAGTCCCCCCGGAGCAGTATGGGGGAGAGCCCCCTGAAACCCACAAGCGCTGAGGGGAGCCCTGCACAGGTTAAGGTCAACTCCAGCCCCAGCCCAACCCCCAGTCCCAGCAAGCCAGCAGAGCCAGAGAAGGAGAGGGACACACGGACAGGTACAGATATTTATTTACTGGTTTGACCGTTGTATTATATTGCAAGATCATACCGTACATTTGACATGCTGTTGAATGTGCTACCATTTAAATTCAGGATAAACCAGCAAAGTTGATCAGAATGATATGTGTCTGTTGATGCTCAGCATTCTGTCAGTTGTCTGTTCTGGGTTTTCTTCATCCGCACTAAACCCCCCCCCCCCCCCCTATCATTCTCTCTATAACTCTCAGTTGTGGTCACTAATGCTCCACCAGAGGAGACTCTGATCCAGGAAAAAACTCCTGTATCATCGTCACCATTAGAGCCTGTCTCTACCCCCACTGACCCCCCAGAGAAAGAGGAGACCACCACCACTCCACCAGCCCAGGAGACACCTGCTACCCCCACAGAGGGTAACTATCCCACTGCAAAGCAGCCGTTTTTTATCTTAATATCAAATCATTCTGGGTAACAAGTAAGTACCTTACTGTAATTGTTTTCAAATAAAATGGTAAAACATCAACTAAAATAGCAATTTCTCAAACAAGAATATAGCTAGGACCGTCTTGGAGTGGTCTGAGTGGGGAGGGGAAAACTGAAAACTAGCTGTTATTGGCAGAAAGGTTTAGAACTTTCTTTCTTATTTACCGCCTGGTGATGTCATCAGGAAGGCCAAAACTCCTTCCCACCAAAACAGGCTGAAATTTCAGGTGGTCATTTTCAAACAGCTCTTACACTAAAAGGACATTATCATCATTTTCACAATTTCACAGTATAATTCCAACCTCATAGTGTGGAAATGTATATAAAACACAGGAATATCACGTTTTCAACTGCACTGTGCCTTTTAATGCTAAAATGGAGACTAGAAGATTCCATAGGGCTGAATTACACACAGAATCAAAATGCAGGCAAAGCAGCATTGTTGCTTATGGTCATCTGACGTTTTATTTTTATGACCACCTGAAGGCTGTGGTAAAAATCAAATGATGTGTCTGACTCATTCTTCCTTCCCTGAACCATCTGATCCAGATGAGGAGGACCCTGCCGCCACTCCTGCCCCTGTCCTGGAGTCTGACCAGAGCCTGTCTGAGCCGGCCACTGTCCCAGAGACTGCCCCAGACACCTTGGAGCAGCCATCTTCAGGTGCGGTTCACATCACTGACTTTGAGACGGTGGCTTTCTGTAAGAAGTCTCTGACTCCCGCCGAGCACTAACCACAAACCAACGTACCTCCCTCCTTCCCTCTATCTTTCCCTCTTTTATTGATTTTTCTTTGTTTGCCACTCACCCCTCTTCTCTGTGTCCTCTCCATCTGTCTGTCGGAAGTTGGCTGGCTGGCATGACCCCACGAACAACTTCTACTGGGCACGGGCAAGGCTTGTCTGTCACTCACTGCATTCTTTGGCCAATGGGAGCCCTCTTTTTTTTTTTCTCCAAATCCTCTGTGAAACTCCTCCGCCTTGCCGTTTCCTCCTGGGGAACTGAATGTACTAACCTCCGCCCCCTTCACGATGGCTACCACACCTCACTGTGTGAAACCCTGCCGTTTTACCCTTTGAACACTTTCCTTTGGGTTTGCCTTCTCGTTTCCTTGTTTTGTGGGTTAATGCATTTACTACTGCCCACCCTGTCCCAAATCTCGAATGAGCAAAATCACATATATTTTCTGTTTTTCATGGGTTTGTTAATCGCATGGCTGACATATGGATGAAGAGTGGCTTGAGAAGGATGAGAATCAAATTTGCTCTTCCATTCATTTCTCCTCATCATGCTGTCTGCCTCTTAAATTGATGTCTGTTTGGCTAAGACTTCACTACGCCTGAAATGTAATAACGCTAACCAGAACCAGACACCCATTGGATGATAACAGAACATGTTTAAACAGTGCATTACTCAATTGAAACCACCAAAAAAACATGTTAGATTTTTTATTTTTTTTGCCCTGTTTATGTATTTTGTCTCAATGTCATCAAAATGCATAATTTAGCCTTTCCCATAGTCTCCACTTTGACATCCCTAGAAAGGTTGAATAGCACCTCTCTGTAAAGCCCTTCAATGACAAACACAAACGATGCCTGTGTTTCTCACTTAAAGTTAGAATACTTAGTTGCCACATCCATTGTTGGACGTATAAGTTAATGATGTATACCCATTTGATTCTTGAAGAATATAACTTAGAAATGCCTCATGAGGCGGCGCACAATTGGCCCAGCGTCGTCTGGGTTAGGGGAGGGTTTGGCGGGCCGGGATGTCATTGTCCCATCGCGCTCTAGCGACTCCTGTGGCGGGCGCATGCACGCTGACACGGTCGCCAGTTGTATGGTGTTTCCTCCGACACTTTGGTGCAGCTGGCTTCCGAGTTAAGCGAGCAGTGTGTCAAGAAGCAGTGCGGCTTGGCAGGGTCGTGTTTTGGAGGACGCGTGGCTCTCGACCTTCGCCTCTCCCGAGTCTGTACGGGAGTTGCAGCGATGGGACAAGACTGTAACTAACAATTGGATCTCACGAAATTGGGGAGAAAAAAGGGGTAAAAAGTACTAAACACCCCCCCCCCCCCACCTTTTGAGCTTAGTTCAACTGTATGAGAGAACCCAAAATATAAGTTTGTAAACAATGTAAACAAACACAATAGCCTCAAAAGATGGTTAAAACTATCATCTTGATATCATGGATGGTCAGTCTGCATCCCATAGATCTGTCTATGAATTTGAGAGTGGTTAGATTTCTCCAGGCCCATCCCTTAGCGTTATACCAAAACAGAAGCGGGGTGGACACTTCGTTATTTTTTCAATTAAGAAATCTAGCATTAATGGTTTCAGAAACCATTTATTGCTTTCTCATGAGCTTAGTTTAAAAAATAATGTGGCCCATTAGCGCAGTAAATGCACTCTAAATCATGTTTTAATGATGTGTAGGATAATGTGCATTCATTGCACTCCCTTTGTCTCTGAGGGCAGAGTGCTAAGAATTAGCAATGACATGCCTTTTTAGAAGTGGATCATTTATTTCTGACTCAAGCTTTTTATACTCTTTAATACATCAGTAGAGTTTGTAACAGCCCAGATGGTATATTTAGTGATACACAGAACAAATGAATTGAGCATTTCTCTGTTGAGCTACAATGCACTGCACTTTGACAAGGCAGCTTAAATGCCCCAAAAAATTGCCATTATGAAGGTGGGATTGTATGACTAGATTTTTGTAGATGTTTAGTCGTGAGTACTAGAATGTAGAATCCTTCCCCCAACCCTTATGAGTGTTCTGTTGTAAACCGATAGCTTCAACACAGATTTATGTTTTTTCCTTTAGTTTTGGCTTTTGTAGGTTATTTTGCACCCTTCTGACCCCATGACTTCACATATGATGTGATTGACAGCAGTACCTTGGTATCACAACATGATACCATTATGACTGTTTTTCTTATTGAAGCCCTTGCAGAGAAAACTCCCAGTCTGTAAAAGGCTCTTCTGAGGAGATAAATGTTTCCTTGTTGTCTGGTCCTTGTCATCATTATTAGGCTTCTCCTTACAACCCTTTAAGTGTGTTTCTCTGGTGGTAATCACCACAGCTAATGGCTGGTGTGCATGCTAAACGGCACCCTATTCCCTTCATAATGTGGTCCTCTGTAGCTCAGCTGGTAGAGCACGGCGCTTGTAACACCAAGGTAGTGGGTTCGATCCCCGGGACCACCCACACACAAAAAAATGTATGCACGCATGACTGTAAGTCGCTTTGGATAAAAGCGTCTGCTAAATGGCTTATTATTATTATAATGTACTACTTTTATAGGGCTCTGGTCAGAAGTAGTGCACTATAAAGGGAATAGGGTGTAATTTGGGACTAAACTTGGGTGTCTATGCTTTGGCTGAATGAAGACAGTCACTGCACCAAATCCCGTTAGTCTAGTGAGGGTGGAGATCGGTGAAGTACTGGAAGAAGAGGCCCAATTAACGTTGAAAGGCTTTTATGAGGAGATTAGCCACAGTCTGACCGACAAATGATGGTGTGGATGTAATGGAAACCCTTTTGAACTCTGAGCCTGATTGATTAAAACCGCCTCTCTTCGAGTTCTTTGATGTTTTTGAGGCTAGGGAGACTAATATTGGTCCATGAGAGGACTGTTACCCAATCCCGCATTGAATAGGCAATCAAATGAGCATTGCAGAAAAGGCCTGTTTGGCTGATGGAAACATACTGTCAATGGTGAGTAGCTTGGGTTACATTAATCTATGCATATTCCATATATCGTAGTACTATAATATCATGTATGAGCTTTATATACCTATTTGGACGACCATTGGTAGTTATTTTTCTGCTGAGAGCTAATACCAGACCGAGACCATGCCATACCATGCTGTCCCATGCATGTGGTGCTGTGTTAGCAGTGTTGGAGACAGACAGCAGATTAAGCCAGCTTGCAGCACAGTGACCCCCCCCCCCCCCCCCCCCCCCCCCCCACTCCCTCTGTTCTCTATCAACAGGCTGAGAGCTGCTCTGGGAAACTGACTTTTCAGTGCTAGTGGTTCACAGATGATGGGATGAGGAGGGGAGAAAATAATGACAAGAAGGAAGGAAACCGGGCCTCGCGCACCATGACTGGAGCAGCCATCACAGACAACCTGGAGGCCTCCAAACCTCTCCCTCTCCTCAACAATCAGACCACGTATGTTCTGTACTGTTTGACTTGCATAGAATAGTGATACTGCCGTTCATCTGAGCCACTACGGTAAATGGCTTGGGTTTTATGGCAGCCAATTAGGATGTTACTGTGATGTCAAGTCAACAAATCCCCAACTTGTTTTTACGTTTTGTGTTATTGATTTGTGTATGATTAACAAATGAAACTATTACATTTCGCGAAAACTCACAAATATGAAATTCTCTCACCTCACTTGTTCAACCTTAGCATTTAAAAAAACAAAAACTCCACCTCTCTTCTTTTGGAAGGTCAAAGAGACTCTTATGCCCCTTCAACATGGCTAAAAATTACATATTTGGCACGCTAACAGTTGAAAGAGCATTCTCCTCCCTGAATGTAGGCAGCTTATTGACGACAGCTTATCCACACTTGTTTTAATTGCCCTTACTTTAAAGATTCCCAAGACCCAAACACCCAAAACTGTCCTCCCCTGTTAGCCTGTAAAAACTGAATTAATGATTGTGAATGTTATTGGACACTGTTTGTGTCCCAAATGTCACTATCTCTATACAGTGCACTACTTTTGAGTCCTAAGGGCAATGGTCAATATTAGTGCACAATAGAGGCAATAGGGTGCCATTCGTGACACAAACCCTCTCTTTGTGTAGTTTGTATGGATATGGTTTGGCCCCCTTTATCCTTAACTCAATACTTTTTAGTTGTATTTTGTCATGAAACTAATTATGTGAACAAATTTAAGCCATGGCATTGAAAAATGTACATTCTGTTTCCTGATAATCATGTAACAAAGTTGGTTTACATTTGTGACCCCAAGAGGAGTATAGTTAAAATGTTATTAGTTTCTTTTTAAGTGAGGTACATTGTACTTAACCAAGCACAGGCATCATGTGACCCTGACAATGTTTGTTAATAACCATGACCATCCAAAGCTTTCCTTTTGCTTCTCATTTGCGATAGATCGCTAGTGGCCTTTCTAGTTTTAATCAAGGGGCATCAGAACATGTACCTCAACAGACCACGATTTTGTTTAGATTTTTAAGTCTTGTTGGCTTTTTTTAGCGTACTCTTGGTCATGAACTCAAAATCTGGCTCACCTATAATGAACAGGAGCACAGATATTAAACTATGCTTAAATTGTATTTCTCAAAAAGGAATGAAGAGGTGAAATGAATGGATCATGTCAATAACTCTAGGAAATGCAATATGTAGTTTATAATTTAATATTTTTAATTGCAACTAAAAATTCCAATGTTTTGTGTGGAAAAAAGGCATCAATTTTTGTTCTTTGTGATTTGCATTCTATATCCTCATTCTTTTCCGTTTCTGATGACTTAGTGATTGTATTATAAGCATCGAATTTTCCTAAACTTCTATAATATCTTCGTTTGAATATAAAACTGCATTATTTGGGTTTATTTTTGGAATGGAGTGTAACTGGCCTATCTAAACTAGCATGATCCTAAATTCTAGACTTTTCCTGTTTATCCGTTGATTACCATTCATTAGTTTTTATCCCAAGATATTGACCCTTTAATCAATCAATCAGGAGATTACATTTGATAGCTTTTTCTTTAAGTATAAAATTATGATTTGGCAGGAAACTCATTGGTTCATGTGCAACTGTCAAATGTACAACATGAAATGTATTCTGTTTATTTTGCTTCTTAGTTTTCATATCAAATAAATGTATGGTGGTCCGGTCTCAATAATGTTTCTCGTGATTTACAATAAGTGCAACCTCAAACAGTTGACTGATGTATTGTGCGTGTAGGGATTATAATTATGTTTTTGCCTGTCGCACAAAGTGAATGCAGTGCCCTGGCTTTTTAGTTTATGGTTTTGCCCATGGTTTCGACCGTGAATGCTCCAGGGAGAATATTGTTTGTGATGCTTTTAAAGCTATTTCCCCAACACGACACCAGAAATATGAAAATAAAATGAATACCCCCCGACCTGCAGGTTTGTATGTTCATCCCTTGGTAAATAAATCTAACTTCATTTTAGATCTACAACCCTCGCGGACAACATTTTGATAGACGTCTTGTGCGATAATCATAGGCAAATGCACCTATCATATTTCTGGGACGTAGGCGAACTGCTAACTGTGAAACTATAATCCAATCAATGTGCTTTTGTAGCGTTTGACCCGCCCCATTTGATTCCTTTAAATTGCAAGCTGTTATGCATAGCTGGTGCGCTCCAGACGCCCTGTCCAGTTCTTAGAGAGGGTTAATTAAAGCATCGTCCCACGAGGAGCAGTGACAGCGGTTTCCACAATACCCACCTGACTTGAAGGGGAAAGAGATAATTTGGAGGCTTTGGACACTGACAAATGAACAGACTACATTCATTGCCAGAACAAGGATATAACAATTGCAGGATGAAAGCCAACACACAAGTTACCACCGTGAAGCAGAACGGGGACAAGAACAGGAGGCCGAGCTATCCAGGCGACCAGCGGGTGAAACATGCCAACATAACCACAAAGATTTGGGTGAAAGTGGCGATGACGCTTGCTTATTTCCTATGCGTGTCAATAGCTGCCTTTATTCTGACAATCTACTATGTTTTCTTTTGGAGTCCAGATCCTGTCAATAGCCCGGCATCGGACAATGTCACCATCCCGGCAGTAGCCAACAACACAACGTGCCAGCCAAGGTTATGACTGCTTTAGATCGGTAGGCCATTCTCCGCGGTGATATCCCGCGCAATGGTTGATACTTTTTAGATGCGCTTTAGGACACCTGGAGAGAACACCGGCACACGCAGCAATGGTCCGCGACAGAGGGGACAGCAAGACATTATTTGAAGAAGGATATTGGGATTTTTGTGCAGTCTGCTGAACTATTCAGGTTAGCCTACCGAGGAATCAAAGTATAGAGTTTGACAGCCTAAAAACGTGATTGCCTGTAGCTTTTCGCTTGCGGAGGGGGGTATATTTAATCAATTAACCCATCCACTCAGATTCTCTCTGTTACAAAATAAATGTAGACAGTTTAGCACGTAACTCCAGAGCATAGACAAATACTAAACCTTCAGTGAAACTGTTGTCAACCCCAATGAACTATCTGTTATCTATTATGTTGCACTGTACCCCCCTTGTACTATTTAAATAGGGGGTATATCAAAATTGTGACCGTTTTTACTTTTTCATTATAGACAACATTTAGTTTCTAAGTACATAATAAACATTCACAATGTATGCTTCAATTTCATTATTCTCTGTGTGTAATAAGATATTCTCAAAAGGAAATTTGAATCAAGCAGATGCATCCTTTGCTACTGTTCCATGGAGAACAGGCACAGGAATTGGGCACACTAAATCTGCCTCTGTATTTTAACGAGGCAAGTGTCTCCTACGATCCTACATGCTTCACAATAGTGATGAAAGATTGCAGTTTGTCCTCTAAGGCCCCCAGGTATTTATGTAAACTCATCTTGATCCACTTATTTTTTGTCAATTTTCGTCATTGTCGGTCTATCTTTCTTTGTTTAATCAAACTTCAGTTGGTCTATTGCTAAGAGAAGTAAACACATAGCAGTGGGCTAATGGTAGGCTATCAAACATCAGGACAGTAGCTATGATTGACAATTATTGTTACCACTGAACAGTCTGTCAGTGTACCCCACTACTCTCTCCCTATGTCTCGGGGGCATATGGGTAACGCGGGAGAGCGCTGCAACATTTCCTTCGATCAATAATTCAATTGCACTGAAAGTTGTCAGGACCCATTCCTTCTCCCTGGCTGCCTTTGCCTCCACCTCCTCTCTCCGAGGCGACACCCATGTATGACTCAGCACGACGAAACAAAGGCCCCAAGGAGTTCACACTTTTTCAACAGCTGTGATGTGATGGCTCCTGAAGAATCCTGTTAGTTGACAACTTTTTTTTTACCAAACTTTTGATTAAGCAAGGTGGGAACTGGGAAGGTGGCTTAGGGTGGACAATCCTGAGAGAAGATGACAAAGGTAAGTGTTGATAAGAAGGGAACTGTCTGATCTGACCCCTAGAAGGCCCGCTACCAGACATGCCCCCTGAGCTTGCTGCTGTCAGGATCAGCTCTATTGGAGTTCTGCCTTCTGTGTAGGGAAATAAGTATTAACCACACTGCTGTACTTGATATTAAACAGTACACTGTACAACACTGATTCGAAAATGACACTGGTGCTCTACGATGCCATTGGACCCTGCCATGGGAGCACCGTGCCCTAATGTTCTCTCATTACATCCACTGGAAACAAGATAGGACATTTTCCCTAACCATCTCCCTAACTGCTAGTTTAATTTCCACAAGAAATCATGTAATTTCCTCAAAGTTCTTAGTTTGGTTTTGGGGAATTCTCTTGATAACAATATCCACTCCGGGATCAAGACCGTTGGACCGATGGAAATTCAATAAGGTCAAGTCATTAGAAAGGTAGAATTGTCTTTTAACTATTATTTATCAAGTAATAAAAGAATAGCATAAAAATACACATAATTGCATTTGTTGTGCTCTAATAGAACACTAAGTGGTTATTTACAGTGCGTTTGGAAAGTATTCAGACCCCTGGACTTTTTTCACATTTTGTTATGTTATAGCCTTGTTCTAAAGCTGATTAAATTGTTTTATTTCCTCAATCAATACACAATACCCCATAATGACCAAGCAAAAACACTTTTTTTAAATGTTTGCAAATGTATTTAAAAACTACTGAAATATAACATTTACATAAGTATTCAGACCCTTTACTCCATACTTTGTTGAAGCACCTTTGGCAGCGATAACAGCCTTGAGTCTTCTTGGCAACAAGCTTGGCACACCTGTATTTGGGGAGTTTCTCCCATTCTTCTCTGCAGATCCTCTCAAGCTCTGTCAGGTTGGCTGGGGAGCGTTTGCTGCACAGCTATTTCCAGGTCTCTCCAGAGATGTTAGATCGGGTTCAAGTCCGGGCTCTGGCTGGGCCACTCAAGGACATTTAGAGACTTGTCCCGAAGCCATTCCTGCGTTGTCTTGGCTGTGTGTTTAGGATTGTTGTCCTGTTGGAAGGTGAACCTTCACCCCAGTCTGAGGTCTTCTGCGCTCTGGAGCAGGTTTTCATCAAGGATCTCTCTGTACTTTGCTCCGTTCACATTTGCCTCGATCCTGACTAATCTCCCAGTCCCTGCCGCTGAAAAACATCCCCACAGCATGATGCTGCCACCACCATGCTTCACCGTAGGGATGGTGCCAGGTTTCCTCCAGACGTGATGCTTGGCATTCAGGCCAAAGAGTTCAATCTTGCTTTCATCAGACCAGAGAAAAATAAATAAAAAATCCTGTTTCTCATGGTCTGAGAGTCTTTAGGTGCCTTTTGGCAAACTCCATTCAAGCTGTCATGTGCCTTTTTACTGATGAGTGGCTTCCGTCTGGCCACTCTACCATAAAGTCCTGATTGGTGGAGTGCTGCAGAGATAGTTGTCCTTCTGGACGGTTCTCCCATCTCCACAGAGGAACTCTGGAGCTCTGTCAGAGTGACCATCGGGTTCTTGGTCACCTCCATGACCAAGGCCCTTCTCCCCCGATTGCGCAGTTTGACCAGGTGGCCAGCTCTAGGAAGAGTCTTGGTGGTTCCAAACTTCTTCCATTTAAGAATGATGGAGGCCACTGTGTTCTTGGGGATCTTCAATGCTGCAGAAATGTTTTGGTACCCTTCCCCAGATCTGTGCCTCGACACAATACTGTCTCGGAGCGCCACGGACAATTCCTTCGACCTCATGGCTTAGTTTTTGCTCTGACATGTACTGTCAACTGTGGGACCTTATATAGACAGGTGTGTGCCTTTCCAAATCATGTCCAATCAATTGAATTTACCACAGGTGGACTCCAATCAAGTTGTAGAAACATCTCAAGGATGATCAATGGAAACAGGATGCACCTGAGCTCAATTTCGAGTCTCATAGCAAAGGGTCTGAATACTTATGTAAATAAGGTATTTCTGTTTTTTATTTTAATACATTTGCAAAGATTTCTAAAAACCTGTTTTCGCTTTGTCATTATGGGGTATTGTGTGTAGATTGCTGAGGATTTTTATTTATTTAATCAATTTTAGAATAAGGCTGTAACGTAACAAAATGTGGAAAAAGTCAAGGGGTCTGAATACTCTCCGAAGGCACTGTATATACAGGTAATAATAAGAATATCAAGGGATCTGAATAGTTTAGAAAATGTGTAAAATGCGTGAAGTCATAATTTCTGACCATTTTCCCTTCAACACAATACAAATAAGGGAGAAGATACCTGTTTCACCACTAGGGGTCATTGTTACATAAATAGAAAGTATGTGGACTATCAAATCATGCCAGTCTTCTATTCCTATCCGTAACAGCTGTATCTGCTGTACTTGGTGACTTCCCAAAAATAATTATATACTGAAACATCCAGTTGCAATTGGACATTAATATTGTATTTCCACTACAAAATATGTTAAATACAATATCAGTGTTTGTATTGTAACGTAAGCACACAATTAACGTTGTATTTGCTCATTCTCAGCAATCAATATTTGCTTGATAGTTTTCATAATTAAAACCTGCCTTTCTAACATTCTGTAAAGCACAAAACCAGATAGTATAGTAAAACAACAACAGTTCACATGGACAACTCACATTATCATGTTGGCATTACAGAATCTCTTAGATTTAATTGTTGTCAGCCAGTCATCAGTCTGAGACTCTCTCAGTCTCAGTGTAGTCCTCAGGAACCAGCTCCTCCAGATCAGTGTCAGACCCTTCCCTTAGGAAGTTCAACTCTGGGGCTGTGTGGCGGCGGAGAGCTCGGAACACGTTACACCCAGACCTAGATCCTGAGTGACAGTAGGGGCGAAGCTTGACCTGCTGTCTCTATTTCTGCTCACGCCAAACATCACATTAGGCAGGCTGCATCGTTTGTCCCTGTGAGGTTTCCCATACCCTGTTTGTAGAGAACCATCTGTCATCCTACTCCCAACATATCCTTCCTCCAGAAAGCACCAGTTTTGGAGCATGGTGGCTGAAGATGTGTAGTGGGACTCCAATGCTGAGGTGGTGGAGGAAGACTCATCTTGTAGGGGATTGTAGTTTTCTGAGTGTGGCTCTGGAGAGGTGTCAGTCAGAGGGATGAGAGGTCCAGGCTCAGCAGTGCTCAGCAGCACTCATCTGGGTGTCATCCATTTCCAGAAGCTACCAGAGGGTTTGGTGGAGTTGACCTCTGTGGGAGGCTGGTCAATACTATAGGAGTGTCCTCTTTTCAGCCAGCTAGCGATTAACCTAGTCCTGGGCGTTTCCCCTGAGCTCTGTGGTGATTCGTAGGGTTGGGAGTGGCAGACATACTCCTCTCTGGCTCTTGACTGGCAGAGCAGAGGGTTCTGGATGACCTGGTCAGTCAGTGGCTGGAGGAGGAGTGGGGACATAGCTGAACAGGTGGAGCAGTGGCCACGGGTCATTCCACTAACACACTCACCCCCCCCCCCCGCTTCTCCTTCACACAAATTCAGACAGCTGAAGTTCTGAAAGAGCTGCAAAATCTGGACCCCTACAAATCATCTGAGCTAGACAATATGGACCCTTTCTTTCTAAAACTACCCGCCGAAATTGTCGCAACCCCTATTACTAGCCTGTTCAACCTCTCTTTTGTAACGTCTGAGATCCCCAGAGATTGGAAAGCT